TTAACGTAAGAAAAAAATATCTAGAAGAAAAAATGTGAAAGTAAAGAAACTATAATAAAAGATAAAGAGAGAAATTGAAAGAGAGAGAATGTTGCTTCAAAAGAAAGAGACATTGTCATAAGGTTAGCAGTGTCCAACCAAGGTGAAATTGTATAAAACTTTACAATTATGTCAACTCATGTATAAATCACTAATATAAAGTCCAAATATGGGTATTTCCCTAAATCTCTCTAACTAATTAAACATGTTTTATTTCAATACAAAATGCTATATAAAAAATCTATAACCTCGAAATCCGACCATATACGAATCTAAATCGTGATCCGAAATGAAAGCCCTGGTTCAAAGACCAACCTAAAAGGAAAGAAATGCATATTTCTATTTGTATAGGTATCTGAAATAAATCGAGTGTGAAAGAGTTTTAGAGTTAAAATATGGTTTGCTTAGAAATTCAAATATATAATCTGAATCTAAAACCATCTCAATATAGAACCGGATTCCTGATATTTTGCTTACTGCACGTGTGACTGAAATTTTGTAGAGAGAAGAGAATACTTTGAATTCAATGTAGAGAAAGATAATTGAAAGTGGGTAGGTTAAGAATGGGTCAAGTGGCATTTACTATTTGGGCAATGATTGAAAAGATGACTATTACAAATCATCAGCAACCTATATCATGGAACTGCTCTAGATTTTATGTACTAGAGAATCTACTTTCTAATAAACCTATCAAACAGCAACAACAAAGCAACTTGAGTTAGCCTTAGATGGTAGTAGACTCGTAGTCCACATATGGTGTATATACACGCACAGACAGTCAAACATTTGCAATATGTTAAATGTATAGGCTTAACAATATACTAGTATTTATAATATGATGACAATAACTATAGACTCTAGTATAAACATGGTTATACAATAACCTCATTGCAAGTTAGAACCCGTAGCTGAATGATTGGCTCCACTCAGAAGTCATATTAATTACAATATTGCTACCATCTGGACTTGGCTAGATCTAAAGTGGTTCTGGTGGGTTTATTATTTTAATGAATGTCAAGTATTCCTTCTTCTCTTAGAGCAGGAACTCTTACTTGGATTTTGTAATCTATTATCTCATTCAATTAGGCTACACGAGTCCATACACTCAAGCTTATCTTTGCACATCAATATAACATCTAGAGACTTGCGTTGGAGACGTGGAGTTAAGTTCCAGCCTCCCAAGTAATTCTTTCTAATACTAAAGGCTTACTCAAAAGGATTTTTCTTCTTATTAACTGTCTAGAAACATGAGTTGCTATAGATTGCTGAGAGCCATTCTGGATATATTTGATGATATAGAGATGCATTTGACTTGCGTTGGCGATATAGAGATGCATACTAGTATATATATGATGATATAGAGATGCATACTAGTATATATATGATGATATAGAGATGCATTTGACAAGAAAAAACAGAATCTCTAAGTGTTATACATGCTAAAAACTGAATAAAAAAGAAAACTATAGATAGATTTTTTATATCAAATATTAAAAGCACATTGCTCTATAATAAGACATATAAAAGCTAAAGCTTTCCTCATCTGACTTTGACATAAACATGCTTCTACGCGTGTGCATGTATAGTGTCTGATGCGGCATTGCCAGCTTTCACTTCACCGAGCTGCAAAATTCCAAACAAGTAAGAGGAAATGAAGCAAGATTTATAAGTGTCAAATCATTATAGTTTCTCAATACTGTGATCAGAAAAAGGGAGGTTACTTGTAAATGAAGGCAGCGATTCCAAGGAGTATGCATAAAAGGATGATGTCTATGCAAAAGTTGCGGCTTGATCTCAGCTAAAATCAAATAGAAAAACCATGAGGTTTTAATGACATAAGTTTTGACTTTGATATGAACTCAGTACAACGTGTGTGTTTATCACCTTAGTTACAGTATCCTTGAGCCTCACGTTAGTGCTTTTCAAGTCAGTAGCTGCCTTATCAATCTGAATGATATACCAAGTCAATATAAAGGAACATATCAAAGGGAAATCATGGTAAAATTAATGAAAAATTATTAATTAACCTTTGTATCTATTTCATCCACGAGTGGTTCTTGTCTATCAAGTTCCTGTAATGTATATATATCATTAAGAGAAATCACTACAATATGAACAACAAAAGGGAGCCAAAACATCAACAAATAAACTAAAAATGAACCTCATTAATGTCCTGAGCCATGTTTTTGAGTGTATCCAACCCTTCAGCTATGAAATCCAATCCTTGATCCTGCTTCCACACTGGTTAGACTCTTGTCTATTATTACACATCAAGTGATAACATGCAGTAAACAAGACACAAACTAGTTACCTGTTTCACTATTCTTATCTCGTGTTCTTGCTTAAACCGATCAGACTCTTCAGTTCGTTTGAAATATTCACTATCAACTCTCCCATCTGATACATTTTAGCAAGTTTTCTTAACCACAAAGACATTTAAGAGTCTGTTCTTAGATATTTTAGTTAAAAGTTAAGAAACGGTTTCTTAATTCCACTGAGAATCCCAAATCCTAAGAACCTTGCAATAAACATGCTCTAATAAGTTACAAATTACATATAAGACTATATATATATATATATATATATACTTTTTTTTTTAATAGCACGAGGTTTTAGGCTGAAGCCACTAATCCCTCAGACCCGAACCACAACATGTAATATTAGTTTCCTTTCAGCGGTCTCTCCAACAAGAGACCTATAACAGTTATTTCTAGTTGAGAAAACGACCTCTGATTCATTAAGAGGATATATATATATTACCAGAGACATTCGTGTCGAATCTGATGTTCGTGTACGATGTTGAAGCAGTCCAACCATTCGAAGGAACAGAGCCTTCTGGTACGGTCTCAATCTTATCTCTCAACGACAAAACCAAATCATTTCTAACATCAAGCTCTTCCTGTGAGAGCCCTTTAACCTAAAAAACATTCTCATCAGCTGCAAACACAAGAATATCAAAAACCATCAAACTTGTAAAAAAAAGAAAAAAAGGATGTAACCTTTTTGAGAGCAAGCCTCTGTAGTTTCGGAACACCTTCAAGCAAACGAGCTTTCGTTCTTCTTATCTCCGCGTTCATTGCTACAGCTTTGGCTCTGTTCGTCTCAGACGAGAACTCCTCCGTTTTCTAACGTTAACGTGAATCACAAGTTAAGTTTTTCAAAAGTAGACAAGAAACGTTAAAAAGAGAGACACGAACCTGAAGAAGAGTTTCGAGTGCTGATTCGAAGGAAGAGTAGAGACGAGTGAAAGCATCGTCTCCGGAGATGTTGTTAGCTTCTCTCTGTTTGTCGAGATCGTACTTCTCGTACTTTTTGCAGATTGAGTCAACCCTAGTGATCAAATCAACCAAACCCATCGATTAGCAAAACACAAAAGAAAACAAAAACTGTTTTGAATATGAGCAGAGCAGTTACAGAGTGAGTATTTCGTGGCTTCTGTATATGAAGATAGCATAGTAAGAGATCTTTTCCTGGCCGTTGGATCTGTTGCCACGTGGATGTGCTTTGATTTGCTTTTATTAAGTTAGGATTAGTTTCCTTTTTTTAAGTTGAAGTGTTTTGATTCTGTAGTGATGTTATTGGTCAATGCTGCATTTTGTTGTTAGTGTTCACCTAGTTCTCACTTGTCTCAAATGAAATATAATCAAATATGGTGGATGTACCAGAAGGTAACACTAAAGACAATATCCAACATTAACATAAATTATTCTTGCAAACAATATCCAACATCAATATAAAACAAACATATACATTGTTCATTACATTCTTTTATGGGCTGTAAGACAATATTTTTCTCCTTGGGTGAGATATAATAGTAAAGAGTCTTTTTGTTCAGCAACCAAAACCAAATCAGTCAACTGAAACTGGCTTCATAGCTTCTGCTTCTTTCCTCAGCTCATCAAACAGAACAGATGATAGATACCTCTCTCCAAAGCTCGCATGAATTGTCTGTTCATTACAAACACAAAACAGATTCCCACCGTCTGATTAAATCATTAAACATTTCATAAAGAGAATCAAGAACAGTTGTTTTTGTTTGTCTCCTCTCTTACCACAATGAGTTTGCCTTTGTTCTCTGGCATTTTCGCCAGTCTTATTGCTGCCACGGTGTTTGCTCCAGAGGATATTCCAACCTACAAGTTAGGGTTCGCATATATAGTAAGCACCAGCAAAAAAAAAAAAAAAACAGAACATACCAATTTATCTAAAAAAAAAAAACTCACCATGAGACCTTCTTTCAGTGCCAATTCTCTAGCCATCTTTATAGCATCCTCACTACTAACCTGTTCCTCTCGCACACGTATGCTCAAACACATAAGCATTTTAAAAGTTGATAGAACACAAACACATGGAACCTTATCAGTAGCATTACCTCAAGAACGCTCTCCATAACATCCATATCCAAGATATCCGGTTTAAATCCAACCCCATTGCCTGTAATAGCATGTGGACCTAACTCAAAGTTCAAAAAAAAAAAAAAAACCATCAGCAACTACATATACTAGAATTTTACATTGATAAAGAGGATAAACAAATAAAATTTTCACCTGGCTTGCCACCATTGAGTATGTTGCTTTCAGCAGGCTCCACTCCATATATCTATCATTTCCAATACATTAATGATCAAACACATTCTCTTTTTGATATTCACAAGATTTCAATCACCTTGACATTAGGGTTTTTAGATTTAAGATATTGGCCAACACCAGAGACTGTGCCACCACTGCCAATTCCCATCACAAAGATATCAACATTCCCAAGTGTATCTTCCCAAATCTCAGGACCAGTTGTATCATAATGTATCTGCACCAATATTCCAATCATCATTCACCTCTATCTCTCTAACACTACAAGACCTAGGGATCTATCAGAACAAGTACCTGAGTGTTTGCAGGATTAGCAAACTGTTGCAACATATGAGCATCAGGAGTACTCTCAAGGAGATCATAAGCTTTCTTAACTGTTCCACCCATTCCTTTGGTTGGATCAGTGAGAACAAGCTCAGCACCAAAGGACCTCATAGTCACTCTCCTCTCCAAGCTGGTGTAAGAAGGCATTGTCATTATAATCTTGTACCCTTTCATAGCCGCCATGAAAGCCATACTTATTCCCATGTTTCCTGAAGTTGGCTCTATCAATGTTGTCTGAATAAAACATAAACATCACTTAAAATAAGTTAATTCACTATTAAGTTTGAGATTTAAGTATGCAAACAAAATGATGATTAATTACTTTTCCAGGAGTGATAAGGTTTTTCTTCTCTGCATCTGCAACCATAGCTAAAGCTGGTCTAGAGTCAACAAAAACTAAACAAAGTCAACGCTGTTTGTACTGATGTTGTCCTAAGATTATGAGTTTCAAAGTCAAACCTGTCTTTGACGCTGCAAGTAGGCTGGAAATGTTCTTGCTTAGCTGCAATATAAGCTCCACATCCTTCAGTGACTCTGTTGAGGAACACTAGTGGAGTTCTTCCAATGAGCTACACAACACAAGACAAATTTGATCAGTCAACATCCAAAAGAAGATCAGATTTTCAAGAAGCCCAAGAAACAAAGGTTTTTTTTTGTTTTACCAGAGAAGCATCTCGTTTGGCTTGAGTGGAGGGGAAGTCTTTGGGAAGGTTTCTTAGTCTTTCAGCGAAAGAAGAAGATCCATCGGTGGAGAAGAGCTTCCTTGTGCTCTGGCTGATGCGTGGGATGGTTTCTTTCTTCAGCAACTTCCTCCAGATAGTAGCCATTGGTGAATAAACAGAGCAAACGAAACTAAAAGTTGGAAGAAAGAGAGAGAGAGCCAAAAGTCAAGCAAAAGGCAAGAGTCTTTGCTAGAGTAGGAGAAGATGAGTGAAAGGTGGAGAAGCAAACCAATCATATAAATGGCTCTGAATACGAGAGAAAGACATTGTATAATCTTCCTTTAGTGGTTAGTGTTTAGTGCTAGTATTCAAATATAAAATGTACGACTAGAAAACAAAAAAAAAAAGATCAATATTAAAACAGATATAGACAAAAGTGTAGGCGTTAGCATTTACGTTGGTAATGCAATTTAATTTTTCTGGCTCTCAATCCTTATTGGATGTTGAGATTGACTTCTTATCTTGTAAAATTTATTTGAAAAGAACATTAATATTAGTTAGCTGATTTCAATATTTATATTTGATTTTAAATTTTCAAGATCGATGACTATGGATGGATACTACCATTATTGTTTTATGCTTACTATGATGTTATATCTATTAGAATTCATGTTTGTACTATCATGTTTTACTGCTTTTATCTGTACAGTTATATTTCTTTATCAACCCTTAATCACACTGTTTTTAATATAACGAATACTAAGGGGAGTGTTGGAAAATGTTTAATATTGGTGGTAAGTGAAGGGTTCTTGTCAGAGTTATACACAAACTCATCATCTTTCACTTAGTGGAATAATGCAATTTAGAGTCAGTTGTTGGAAATTTTAACTTCTTTTTCTTATTCAGTTAAGTTAAATTTATGTCAAGGAATCTTCGTGCTTTGTTGTAAAGCATGTTACAACTGGGACCATCTTCCTTTGAGAAGTAGGTGACACTACCAGTCTACCACACGTTTAAAATAAACCATTTCACCTAAGAACCTTAACCGAAAACAGCATTGAACCTGAGGATTGTAAAAAAAAACCGAACCGGTTATCTGAATAGCATTATTCTTGTACCAAAATCCAGATTAAACCATTTTGATTTTAAGAAATAAAAGATTATTAGAATACTCAAGAATGATTTATGTTGAACTTTTGAGAAATATTTCATTGTTTACAAGATACACTGATTGCAATAAGCAAATAAGAGGGCACATACGTTCATACATACACACATTTCACTCATATGGATTAACAATAGAAGCAACTTAGGACACATGATGAGAGACAAGAGGACTAAATGACTTGTTTTTACTTAGTTTCTGGACTTGAAGGGAATGGCTCTGATGACAATCACATGATAAAGAGCAGCAAGTGCAGCACCAATGAAGGGTCCAACCCAAAACACCCACTGAAATGTCCAACAAATAAATAAAATTGTCAGAAAATGGTTGAAACCAAGTTTGGAATAATATTGGTTTATAATAGTTTGTGGAAAACTAACGTGGTCGTCCCAGGAATGGTCTTTGTTGTAGATGATAGCAGCTCCAAGACTTCTTGCTGGGTTAATGCCAGTACCAGTGATTGGGATGGTTGCTAAGTGAACCAAGAAAACCGCAAAACCGATTGGGAGTGGTGCAAGAATCTACACAAAGTAGTCATAAACAAGCCGATAATTAAGCAACAATATGTACACTTAAATGTGTTATATGTTCAATCATTTCATAATCTATACAGCAGCTACGTTCCATGGACTAGTTTACTTACGGGGACATGAGAGTCACGGGCGTTTCTCTTGGCGTCAGTAGCTGAGAAGACTGTGTAGACAAGGACGAATGTACCGATGATCTCAGCTCCAAGACCACTTCCTTTGGTGTATCCAGGAGCCACAGTGTTGGCTCCTCCTCCTAGAGCCTGGTATTGGTTAGGCTGGAACCCTTTAACCACACCAGCTCCGCATATGGCTCCCAAGCACTGCATCACTATGTAGTACAGAGCTCTGGTGAGCGACAGCTTCCTGGCTAAGAACAGACCAAAAGTGACTGCTGGGTTGATGTGTCCACCTGATAGTGACAGAAAAAACACTCCAAGATTAGGCAAATGGACACAAGACTAATATATACTTTCTATGTTACAAAATATAAGAAGTTTTAGGGAAATCACACATTTTACGAAAATTAATTTTATCTAGAATATAAATTTAAACAAATTATAAAATTTATTATAATATAATTGATTATACGGTTTTTAATAAAGTTAAAAAATTAACTTGAAACATTTTACAATTTTAAACATCAAAAATTATGTTAAACATATTATATTTTGAAGTTTTTTTTTTGCTGAACTATTATATTTTGAAGTTACTTGAGTTATATATATCAAAACCGAAGTTAAGTTGAGTGACTTACCAGAGATACCAGCCGTGCAGTAGACAAGGGCAAAGATCATACCACCAAAAGCCCAAGCGATACCTTGGATTCCAACGGAAGCACACATATTCGGTGATCTTTTAACTCCCATGACGGTCAACACGGTGATGTAGAGGAAGAGGAAAGTAGCTATAAACTCAGCGATACCAGCTCTCCAGAAGGACCATGAAGAAAGCTCACCAGGCTCGAAAAGCGGCGCTGGTGGTGGCTCGTTGTAGTCCTTGTCGCTCTGAGCTGAAGTTCCTATTGGTTGTCTCTCAGGGAACTTGTTAGCTCCAACCCTAACGTCTTCTTCCTTGCCTTCCATCTTTTGTTCGAACTCAGACTAAAAGAGTAGCTTTGAGTTTGGTTTTCTTTTCTGTGTTGTGGTGAATTTTGACAAGTAGAGTGGTGATCACTTTATAGTTGGAAGATAATGCAAAGAAAATGGCAGAAATAAAATAAAGATCATGACAATATTGACAATAACATGAAAATTATTTATGTTATCTGTATAGTAATCAATCATCATGTTAATGATAAAGCTTAATTATTGGGGTCAGTGATATATTAAGCGCCTGGACAGGGTTTTGAGTGCTACATTCCAGCTATTTTTTGCTAGTTTAAAAATGTATTTAAACTTATTAAGAACATGTAAAGATCAATGTTGATTGTTTTAAGAAAATCCTCATGGTTGTCACTAAATAATTCATTAGTTACCAACTGCTACGAGGCTACGAACAAAACATACAAATTAACAATAGAAATTGTCCAGTTTAGATGATCTGGCGCGCGCTTGCCAGCGTAAGAACATTTGAATACAGCCTCACCATTATGCACCAATTCTTGATTACCATTTGAGAATTATAAAACAGTTTTATAAATAGAGTGTGGTAGTGTACTAATTACCAATTATGAAAGACAAGGTAACATATACAAAACTTAGTGGTTGCTAATTGCTATATATTTTTTTAAAGTGGGGCCATTCTTGATTACCATTTTATTTCTCGAAGTTCTTTATCACCAATCACCATGGCATTTTTAAACTGTTATTAACCATTCATAGAGAGTCCAAGCCTTCAAGATTTAAAACCATACGAGAATTTCCAATTTTTTTTAAAAAAAGTTTATAAATATGAACAGTTGTTAGTGTTTCAGAATTCAAATCCACATTGGCAATTTAAAACTAAATGAAAGGTGAAACTTTGTACCCTAAATCTCTGACCATTAAAAAACGACCGACCCATTTTACCCAACACAACCAGATGCAAAAAGGCATGTGTAAAATAGTTTTGATCTTTCTGATGGAGAGAATATAAAGTCAATTATTCATAGCCGTCCAGCTAATCGACAAAGAGACGCAGCAAGTTACGTATAAAGCCGGCGCCTAACCTATCCAAAACCGTCCATTCACCTAATGCCATTTGTCCTTTCAGTCACCATATTTATTTTAAAAGGCTTTTTTTTTTATATATTTTCTGGTTTTCTATTCATGATTGCGTTGGCCACTCTAGCCAGCCACCCCCACCATCTCCGTTGTGTCGCGTTCCCAGTGAAAACTACTCATTAGACATAAACAATAACGAGCGAAAAGATAGACATAACGCAACAAATACAGTAGCTAACAGCCTATCACCCTATCAATATATATTAGCTTTCTAGAGCCTCACTGACTCTCAGTCCCTGACTTTCTATTCCCAATGGTTGTTTCTAGGCTTAGGGTTTTGCCATTAGCCTTTATTCTCCATCATAACACTTTACATGATCGCACAATATATTCTTGTATGTTTTTGGTTTGGAATGTTTTATATTTTATCTAATGCCTGACCGAGTTGATGATGTATTATACTTTGGATCCAGTGCCGGTCTTGAATATTTTTAGGTCGGAAGCAATTTAAAAAATAAAACTTATTGTTGTGGCAAAGAATCGAATCTATTTTCTACATCTCTACATTAATTTCAATTAACCACTAGACTACTTAAAGTTTTTGTAAATTTTGTGGCCGATAAATTACTAAAACAAATAAGGCTGGAAACCTATGATTCCTTGGCTTCTCTTCAGGGTTGGCTCTGCTTGGACCATTCCATATTTACTCTATCCTTTTCTGTGGCATATATCAACACAACATAGATGATGAAATCCTATACATATGGCATAAAGCTACTGATGGGGACCAATCCAACAAGTGGAACAAGCGGTTGCAATGTACCATGATATGTCAGAAACGGCTATACATAAGGCTGCTAAAAAAACATCTAAAATGGCCATGCACCATGCATTTATATAATCTGTATCCCTTGGGCTCCGTCTCGGGCTTTCCTAGTTATAATGGTCTGTGACAAATAAAAATATACAAAATTCCTTTAAGAGTTTGGGCCAATATAAATGGGTCAGATATATACGGATTAAAAAGCCCATAAAATTACACAATAATATCCCGAAAAATAAATAAAACACAAAAAAAGGAAAAAAAGTCAAAGATAGCAATCGAACCACTCACACAACAGTTCAAAAGTAAAAAGCCTCACCGACTCCATCAAACGACTAACTAACTAACCCTAATAAAGTTTCTGTTTCCGTGTTTAAACATCTGACTTAAACTAAACTTAACCCTAATAAGTTTCTGTTTCCGTGTTTTTTAAACCAATCTCGAGCCATGAGCCATTACAGCTCGTACACGTGGCTTTGATCGCGCCACCCTCTCTCTCTCTTGATTATAAATTTTTAAAAATCCCAAAAAACTCAGCCCTTTCTTTTTCTCTCTCTTCATCACATCTCCTGTCTTGGCTTCTTGCTCTGTTCTACCGCCGTCGCCGCCGTTAGATTCAGCTTCTCTCTCCTCCACCGCCACCTCTCATTACCTCCTCCGGTTATAAGGTACAAACACGCTTGTATTCTCCTATCTATTGCTTTTTTTATTCTCCACCGTTCGATTATATCGTTTATTAAGTTTGAATAATTATTAATCTCTATTGCAAAATTTAGACTTTGAAAAAAAAAAAAAAAAAAAATTTAGACTTTGAATCTCCTGATTACTTGAAATAAAAATTTGCTAATATAGACTTGTGTAAATGGTTATTGATTAGCTTGCCAGATTTAAAGTAAGGTTTAGTATGTGATTTTTACAATCTTTTCTTCTTTTTACCAGCTTGGTGTGAAGTTTCTGGACACTGCTTCAGCTCAATGCTCATTGACCTGGAAACCTTTCTACTTAAAGACCTTGACACTTTCATACGTGGCACTATAGAGTTGAGAAGCTTGAAGAGTCAAAAACAATAAATTTTTTGTATTGTGGGGAGTGCCATAAGTGTAGAAGCTTGAGATTGTAATAAGATATTATCTCAAAGGAGCTTAATAGCTGAAGAATTGGTCTTTAAATCAATGTCGGAAAGTGATATGGCCATCATTAAACCAGAGGTAAATTTTTTTATTACTTTCACTGTTGGTGTCTTAATCATTTACTAGCCACTTGTATAATTAGTTAACTTGTGTTAGCTACAAAGAGGTATGGTAGTTATATCTCATGGCTCAACTAATGTTTAGTGAGAAGGATAAGATAAGAGAGAGTCGGTTAGATATTTTTGCTGAAATGCAATAGTAATGATTAGTTTTTGGATACATAACAAATTAACAAGTTAACAATCTACTTCGTTCTATCTTATTTATTTATTTATTTATTTATTTATTTATTTTTAATTGTGATTAGTCTTTAGTTTTCATCATATTGGTTTAACAACTTAACAGGACCTAGTAGTGGTCTCATGTATTATTGTAATAATTTTTGAATTTCTAGTGGATTTACTTTACCTCGGACTGAGACTTAGTTACTACTTTTTCCTTTCTTTCTGTGGCATCAAAACAGATGATGAAATCATATATATGGCTTGAAACTTCTGATGGATCAATCCAACAAGTTGAACAAGAGGTTGCAATGTTCTGTCCCATGATATGTCACCAAGTGCTACAGAAGGGTGCTGGATCTTCCAAGAACAATGCAATATCTCTTCCACAGAAAGTCAGTCCTGCCATGTTAAGTTTGATTTTTGATTACTGCAGATTCCATCAAGTACCTGGACGTTCAAATAAGGTCTACTCAATGTCTTTCAACTAGAAGCAGATAGTGACAAATTGATAATCATATATGCACATTTTTTCATAGTTTTTTTTTTTTTTTAAATTACTATTTTAGGAACGTAAAGTTTATGATGAGAAGTTCATGCGGATGGATACAAAGCGGCTATGTGAGTTGACCTCAGCTGCTGACAGTTTACAGTTGAAGCCTTTGGTTGATCTTACTAGTCGTGCTCTTGCACGGATTATTGAAGGGAAAACCCCTGAGGAGATACGTGAAATATTTCATCTGCCTGATGATCTTACTGAGGTATCTAAATCATCTCTTTTATTAAGTTTGTTACATTCTCATCTCCATTTTTTATTATAATTTTTTTGGTACGGTTTTATCAGGAAGAGAAGTTAGAGCCTCTGAAAAACACGATGGATGATCCACGTATTCGACTCTTAAATAGATTGTATGCTAAGAAGAGAAAGGAATTGAAAGAAAGAGCAAAACTTAAGGTTTGTTTAGTATTTTACTCAAAATTTTGTTAAGTAAACTTTAGCTTTATACTTTTTGGTATTTCCATGGCAGAGTATAGAGGTTGAAGAACATGTCGACGAGCGTTCTGTGGATGACCTTTTATCGTTTATTAATGGCCGAGGTACTTTTTTGTATCTTCATATCTATCCATCTTACCACATACTTTGATGCTTGCATTACATTAAGCTATTTTAATAATGCTAATTTCGGTTGCTGAGTTCCTAGTATGAGATTCTCATTGTCTTGTTCTATAATCTCTTGGGCTTTTTATTGATCATTTTCCATGTTAATCTACTTCTTGTTTATTCTCACTGTCTTGTGCTGTAATCTCCTTGTTGATGATATCTTGGTTTATCTTTTGCAGATCACAAAGTGGTAAATACTTCCAAGAGCAAAAAGAAGAACAAGAAAAAGAAGGAACATAAAAATGGTAGAATAAATGGAACTTGTGAAGTCTCAAATAAGGTTTAAACTAGTTTCTCTGTGACTGCTCTTGGTGGTGGTAGTAATCAAGTATCTGAGTTTGTTCCTTGTGCTTAGGATTCACATAATTTGCATTCCAAGCATCGAAGTGCTGATGAGACTTCGTCCAGCTTGGGAAGTGTATCTAACTTACTTAGTATGGAAGATGATATATTTTCACCGAAGACGGAGTTTGAAGAAGATGGTTATATAGATGATGAAATTGATCCAGCTTTGAAAGAAATGCTTGATAGGTAAGTGTATCACTTATTAGTGTAAACTATTCATTTTCTGGTCAAAGAAATAGTATATAATAAATGGTTAACTTTATGTAAATTACAGGGAAGTAGAGGATTTTGCTCGGAGACTGAACTCAAGTTGGGTTCTATCAGTAGGACAAGAAAGACAGCCTGTGCACTTTTCCTTAAACGGCAATGGAGCTACAAGGCGATTGACAGGTACACACACACACAAACACACTCTAATGTGACAATGTATCTTAAAGGTGATGTTGTACTATACATATAGTCTTGGATATAGCTATAGATGACTGATGGGAGATAGTTTGGTTTGTCTACGTTTTGAACATTGAAGGTTCAGCTGCAAGACAAAAATGAAGATGATAACGCTAGCCTAATGGCTGGAACAGTTTTGGTGATCCCCACATTTAGATTTGTAAGCAATTAGAGACGATGGTATTGCGTTTCATGGGTGTTCCTCCTCCTCCTGTAATGTTTTTTCCCCACAGTTTTGTTTCTTCTTCGTTAATCCTAGAGTTTTAGGATTCAGTTTTGCTCATTTTTTCCTCAGTGATCAACCTTTGTATACCACTTTTTAATTCAAAATACTTTCCTGTATTTTCTTACACTAAAGAATAATAATAATATGGAGAAGATGATTCCATTTTCTTTTAAGTCATTACAAGCCTCTCTTAAGATGAGAAAAAAAGAAAAATATCACAAAGCAGTTTCACCTCACATGGAACGGGTGTTAAAAAACATTACAGTTACATGCCATTATATTTACATATTGTGATCAAGATCTTTGTAGCTTTTATGTTCTTCCTCTGTAGCTTTTTTTCAGGTAATGGATGTTGAGGTCACTCACACTGCTTGTGGTTTTTGATGGCACGCTTATGCCATAGTTTGGTGGAGTGGATCATGAAGCTTATCATTCCTAGTCCCATCCCACCGCACTGGTGGATCAGCAAACAACTCAAAGTCAGGTGAAATGGAAACAGAGAAACAAAGGATTGTGTCTTTTATTCAGGATGGTAGTGCTTACAGGTAAAGAGGCAGGAGGAGATGAATGGTTTGATTTTTCATCTATTGTACTTGGTGAAGAAGCCTCAGATCCTCCAGAGTATGACAAGGTACCATCAGACTGAGAAGAGCTGGCTCTTGATGTTCTCTCCTCATCTTCTTCTTCCTCCACTTCGCTTTTCCCCTTTGAGCTTTCACTCAGCATATATGAACTGGAGCTACTTCGCGAGGAGACAAGGCGCTGAAAGTCATATAATAGAGCTGAGAGAGCTCTCACTTCATCCCTTCTACCATCCCTACATTAATTGCACAACACATGCATATCAGTAATAAAGCATCTAACAATGTTTCTATATATAGCTATGAGAAAAAAAGAGTTTGTACCTTGTGTGGATGAGATGTCCTTTGCAGATAAACCGAATATGACAAGAGGGAGGTGCGTAGTGGCATACAAAGATGGCTTTCCTTGACCTCAGTTCCTCCATTTTACTGCAGATTTGATCACACCAATTAATGTCAGATTCAAGATGAATCATAAAAAGAAACAGGTGAAGCAGCAAGCCATAAGAAACAATACGTTGAATAGTGTTTGTCTGCAGCTGCTCCCATTATAAACTTCCTGACTTTATACTCAGTAATCATCTGCACAAGTCCCTTCTCTATTGAGTTCAGAGTCTCAACGCACAGCTTCTCTGCGTGGACCTGCAATAACCAATCTCCTTAGAATTGGCACAAACTTCATATCTCATTTGTATATGCAGACATACCCCTTTCTTCAGGCAAATTGTAAGGTACTCATCAAGAATCTTGTCTGTTTTAGCCTTTTGTTTTTCTCTGTATGCTCTCACTAACTCTTCATCTACCGTTGCAGCATCAAATCTGGTACCCACTGTGGAAGGTAAAAAAGAAAGAAAGATGGTAAGTTTCATGTCATCACAGCCATTGACTCTTTTGGATTTGTAGTGAGGGGTAGAAGAGAAACTTACAAACAGGAATCATCTGAGGAGTTTGGTGAACAAGAACAATGCAGATCTTGTTCCCTTGGGAGTTATCTATAACCCATATGAGATTTGACTTGTTCTTGGCAGTTTCTCTCCCTAAAGCAACATATATTATCTCCTCCATCACTGCTGCTTCCTCCACCTCCATGTTCTTCTCTCCAAACTCCATATACTTTTTTTTCTTGGGAAAAGTGTCTGAAAATCTAAAGAGAATGGCTGGTTCGTTTGAGACAAGAAGCTGTTGTTTTCTCAGATGTTTCAAATATATATTTGGAATCAAGAAAGAAAAGATCCAATGGAGGGGCATGTATGTGTCATGACATCTCTTTCTTTCTGGTGTCACTCTGTTCTTTCGAATATTCCATCTGGACTTTGTCTATGTATTATTAATTCTTGTGAGTTTTTTATAATGACATGACCTTTGAGCGTCAACGACTTAATCAAACTCAAGGAGGTAACCAATGTAAGCCAAGCTCCTTTATATTTTTTTCTCCAACCTTTCAGGGCCATTTCGTGCTTGTTTCCAAAAGTCAAATTGTCTTATTATATAATTTCCTATGTTTCACAAAAAGTATTATTTGGACACTTTTACCTTGTTACACAAAAATGTCATTTTAGAATTACAATAATTTTTTTATATTTTTCAATTAATCTCAACCTCAAAATGCATTAATCTTCTAAATAATATTCTTTATTTAAAATAGTATTGATTAAATAAATATAAATTATTAACAATATAAATGAATTTCAATCATTTTCTTAATTTATGTGAACATCCTTTTTTAAAAAGAGAGATTAACTTTTATAAGTCACTCTAAATTTGTCATGGTTTATTTTTATTTTCTTTTGGAATATTTAGTTTATTTATTATAACGCTGATTTATTATGATATTATAATTATAAGGAAAATTAGATAAATGATTCGATAACCGACAATACTATCTATCTTATAAATATATATGTCTAACTGCATCATCTGAGATGTCATATAAAAATCTATTTCTGATCAGATTTTATTTGCATCATGTTGAAGATCTTAAATTTTTATTTTATAGAAATGGTTTAGTTACATTACTAATTTACCACGTTCTCCGAATATTCAATACTGTCTTCTTCCTAGCATAAGGAATAATTCCCATCTTTATTTTTCTTATAATATAGGATACACCAAACGTGTATTCCTAAAATAATATTCCTACCATATGTCCATGTCATATTTTATCTGTGAATTCTTTTATGTTTACACAAAATTAATAGTACCAATAAGTAAATCAATTACAAGGCAATATCATAACGAAAAGGAATATTACAGAAGACTGACTCATACCAAGCACCAACAACAACCACCGGCTAGTGAAAATGACTGTGTTCCAAAAAAAAAAAGTAGTGAAAATGACACACTATTACAAAATGTCAAAAGTCAATACCATATCAAAATACAAAAAAAAAATCCACAACAGAGATGATTCAGGAGCTTGAGGCTTGAAGCCATTCTTGGATAGCAGATCGAAGAGCAAGATTTGGAACCAAGCTTGTGTGAGGAAGTCTTCTGTTTGTCATTGGTGAAGTCTCGTGCCCTCTATTAAACCAACCTCGTATAGCCTCTCCTTCATATGTAAAACCATCTGCTGCTACATATGGATCCTCCATCACATCCTACAAAACATAAGAGCAAAAATATCGGTAGGACAAAAATTAGTCCTTAAAATCTTTTGTTTTTTATTTATTTTGTTTTCTGTTTTTTTTCTTTTAAAAGTGAATCAATGGCGGGACACCACGTGTCGTGGGGCTCGCAAACAGAGCAGAAGACACAACAAAGATGTTCCTTATCTCAGGACTTTCTCCCGTTGTTCTTCCTTGGTTTTGGGAATTTGTGGTCCCCCCACCCAAGGACGCAGCAAGGACGAACAATATTGATGCTCTAATATATGATATTATTTTATGATTATAACATTTTGATCATGTAGTTTTATTGATCTTACAATGTTTCTTTACCTGTGTAATAGGACACATGAAGTACTGAGGAGGTTCACGGTCCTTAGAGAGAGATGCTTCCTCTTCATTGTACTTACTCTTCATCTTTGATACTTCAGTAAGCTCTCTCTTTAACTCTTCTTGTTCATCTCTAAGTCTTCTCAACTCTTTCATTGATAAGCTATACTTTCCTTGTAGGTTTCTAATCACCATATTAGACTTGGAAATTCTTGTCTCAGCTTCTAATCTCATCTTTTCAAATTCTTCTTTTACTTCCTTCAATGCCTTCTCTGTTTCTTTCCTACGTTTCAACTCATTGACATACCCATTTTCTAATTCTTTAACCTACATTTATTGTCATAGATAAAGATTTAGAAAAATTTATAGAAAAAATGTTAGAGAAACTTATTGTTATATACCCTTTTGATTGCATCAACTGCAGATTTTTCAGCTTCTTCACGTTTAGACATCTCAAAACGTGTTTCCCTTTTTGCACTTGCAGCTTCTATGAGAGCTACTTGTGTCTGAACATCATCTTTAGCCATACTTGAACTTGCAACACTTTCAGTTCCATTAGTTATCTCTGATTGAGTCAAATAACTTGAAGATGTGCCTTCTACATACAAGTTATCTCTTCTTGTAGCTTCTCTGCATCAACATTATACCCAAAAGAACACTTATATAGTGTGAATCACAAGCAAAACTCAAAGATCATAGCTAAACAGTCTCTATTATATTTATAGTTAGCACAAAAGATGATAAAAGTTTGACTCAGAGTTGGCTAGAACCTTGTACAGATTAGGTATCCATTGCATGTAAACCATATATGGCAAGTATCTGGCGCTTCTCTGTGAATGCAAATAGCTTTCTTGGACAGCAAGTCTCTCATTCTCCTACAAAATCAAGAAGTCTTTACTTGATCAATAAAACCATACTTAAGGTAGCAAAAAAAAGTTGACTCTATACTAATTAAACTACTTACATTGTATAGTGTCTATCAGCTGCTGCTCCCATGACAAGCCTCTTAACTCCACGCTGAGATATCAATTGGAGTATACCTTCCTCTACTGAATCCATTTCAATATATATCTTCTCTGCTTTGACCTAATTAATTCACAGTTTAACTTGGCAGTCAAGAAACCAAAAAATCTCTTCTACAATTTAAAAAAAAAAAAACATATTGATGATAAGATAAATCATACATGCATTTGTCTGCATATAGTAAGGTACTTGTCCAAATTATTATGTGCTTTCTCCTTCTCTTTCCTCAGTTTCTGCTCGTTGAACATTGCTCCAGCTTGAAATAAAGAAAACAAGATTCAATCATAAACTGTACACAAAACAATTACTAAGTGATTGAAATATACTTACGGTGCAGAACATAGACGATGCAGAACTCTCTGCCTCCAGTGTTCTGAATCGCCCAAACGAGACTAGACTTGTTCTCTAGATCTCTCCCTGACACTGCTACATAGACCTTCTCATCCATCACCATCTCTCTCTTGCTAACCACCACTGGCTCATCACCGTTATCCCTGCCACACAATCTTAAAGAGCCAACCAATTTCACCATTTCTTGCATCGGAATCTTTAACGTCATGGTCACTCCTTTCCATATAGAATCACACAAAAATACAAACAAAGAATACTACGCTTGATAAAGATTTGATTTAACACATTACTTGATGAGTCAAGCCCACACAGAAGAACATATATATATGGAGAGACGAGGGAAGGCTTGGATTATAAAGCAAAACACGTTATCTGTGTTGACACGTTCCGTAGCCTTATCACAGAAGGTGAAATGAATCATGTATATTATAATAAAATGGATAATTAATTGTTTTGACTTTCAAATACAAGAGACTATCCAAGAATATGAATGTGATAGTTTCTGTTTATGTCAAGACTAGTAATGTCGACATAACGAAAGCGATATGGAAACTTACAAAACTTTTTTATTTTGATCAAACTATCAATGCATTGCTTCGAAAGCGATATGGAAACTTACAAAACATAAGTAAAGACAATCTCAGGCGTATCTTACAGAACTAATGTCGTCAAGGCTGCGTATGCATGCTTACGTCAGCTCTCATTTTTTTTTTTCATGTTTTTGGGATTGTGTCCCTGGCACGTTAATCGTTTAGTAACGACCTGGTCTTTTTGTTTGCCGCGTGATAATTAGTCTTAATGATTAAGAACTTAATCAAGATCATGATCAAGGTAACTTCCACAATTCTAGATAATCTAAAGAAATAGTTGTTTAATTTCATATGAAAATGATAGTTTTGATTACTTAACGCTCTAATACATGTAAATTATTCAAGCAACGACATCATCAGTGAGATCATGATTTCAAAGTTGAATAAATTACACGACCAATTGTATAATATCGAACATGTCTTTTGTATTACAATAGAAAAAAGAGAAAATTTTACAGAGAAATCTACGCGACTAACAATAAGTTAAACGTAAGTGAGATCACCAATTCAAGGTTTAATTACACGACCAATGTACATAATACTGTTATTCACTTTTGGAAAATTTTAAACACAAAAGTGGCCATTTAGTGAAATCATGTAGACTCTATAAAATTAATTTAAGTCCCTGAACTCTGTGAGTTTACGTTTAGTCCAGAATTTTTTGGATTTAAATTAAGGTTAGTCCCCTCCGTAGGCTTTTTCTATTTTAAATTTCTTTTTTATAACACTATTAGATTTGCAGAGTTCAAGATGATACAAAAAAAAAATAAAAGAGATAAGAAAAAATGTCATTAGACACTAAACAAAAATGGGAGGGACCTCACTAAATCCCCTTATTGCTAAGCCTCTAAAGCGAGCAAGTAATGTAGCCACACCGGAGCATTTCGGATGATGTACAACTGGTGACATAGATCACGAGTGACACTTAAAGCAATTGCCGCTATAGTTTCATTGCATTCAGGAAGAGCGTGATCCAAACTCCATGAATTTATCTTTGTAAGAAGAAAAGAGATATTGTGACGCATATGACTGTGGTTATGGTGTTCATCAGGTTTTGTGAGTACGTCATGTAGGCTCTCCGACGAGGTCTCAAAAATAATATTTGAGAAATGTAAATTATGCAAACATTCAACCGCCCAAAAAAAAAGCCCACAAGTCTGCCTCTGTTTTTATGCGCATACATGAATAGGCTCGACGACTGTGCATGATTATACACCTATTTTCATCATGTAAAATCCATAAAACACCACTAAAATGATTTGAATTTATCCATGAGGATCCAACATTACATTTGAGGAAACCATTGGACATTTTTTTTCATTGAACCATTTCTGTATCGCCATCACCCACTCGATCCTTCGTTCCTGTGAATGTATCAAACTATGTAAATTATTCTTCATAAACTTTCTTAGCAATAAACGAAGACTCAATAACCTTGGTTTCAAAAACAAAAGCATTCCTAACTTTCCAAATTTCTATTTTAATTTTAGTCTCTTGATTTTTGTTTAGTTTTGATACCGTGAACTTTGGGAATAAGCATGTGGTAAATGGGCAAGGCCTCCAGAGTCTATATTTTTCTCGTTTCTATTAGAAGATAATAAACAGTGTGTATGGGCCGTAGTAGCATTAAGCCTTAACGAGAGACAAAACTGCTGCAGAGTTTTAGTTGCATTAAAAGACATTAAGCCTTCACGAGTAACAAAATATAGAGAGGAACATCAAGATGTGCGGCGAAGAAAGACCTTGCATTTTTCAGAAGTATATTTTTCATCAGTATTCTTTTTACGTACCAATATTCTGTCTTACAATTCCATTTTGTTGGACTTTCAAATTGTTCTTTTAAACTTCCTAATAAAAAAGCTTCCTAATACACAATCGTGATAATTTTCGTGCCAAGCAAAAATAAAACATAAAAGATATCTAGTAAGCATATATTTTTATGTTACCCAACAAAAAGATTTAGGGGATAAAGTTAAATATAAACAGTTGGAACATAGTTGGTAAGACTATGATGACCATTTTCTTCCAATTCTAGTTTTTGTCTTGTTCGTGGGTTTAACAGTTGAGTCGACACGTATATATATTATATTCTATTGCTAACTAGATATTAAAAAAATATCAAAGACACTAATAATGTTTTGTACTACATATAGTATTACATTTAATAGTACTTTATACTTAATTTAGTAAGAACCATACACATCGCACAAACCTAACTCAATTATTTACAGACTTTTCAAAGTCTTTTAAGCTTGTTATGTACAACAGTGGATATATTATAGAGCTATATAGTATCGACACAATATTGAAATAAATAAGCATATAATATAATTTATTATTTTATATATAAACTCAGCTAAGTTAGTTGTTAATTAAGTGTCTGTATCAGTCACATTATGACATATATAACGAAGATAGCGTTAGTTTAGTGGTGTGTATGCTTTGAAAACAGCCAATTTTCGGAGATTTCGAATGGGATAATTAACAACAGGTTGTATTAATGGATAATTGATTAGTGGAAACAATATGAAATCGTCCACTAGTGATGTTTTAGTTTCAACAGAAAAATATTCACTCTCTGCATTTTTATCATTTTTTCAGACATATACGCAACCATGTTGGTTGGATCAATTGCATGCTGATGACATCTCATTTTTTGTAATGAAATCATAAGTGCTTGTATTTATCGAAAGTTTAGTCAAATATGACGACTTCGAAATTTTAATATATCTTCACCCTTTTCTTTTATATATTGTAAAGTTTAAAACATTATGCTAATAAGCTAAACTATATCAAAAGTAAACACATTTAAACAATATTTTAAAATTTTAAAGGTTTATATTTGGTTAGATATAACGTTATAATGTACCTTTAAGACAAATGTAAAAGCAGTCTAGAAAGACAATTTAAAAGGTATTGGGGTTGGGGGATCCAATGTGGAGAAAAAATATTGTATATCCATTTTCACATAGCTTTGTTTTCTAATATGTTTCCTTTTTACTGTGTTTCTTTTTTCTAATATATTGGGTACATATGTAAAGAAAAAATGTGTTGTTAACGCAAAATAAACCTTCACAAATCGCATATCAATTATCAACTTAAAAATTACAGATGTTGATTATATTTTAGAAGTGTGTGATGCGTGTATGAAACTGTCGGCATATATTACTTTCAAGTTTTCAGTTGATTACTTGATTATAAATGATTTTTTTTTTTTGTAACACTACTTGATTATAAATGATATAATGGTATATCTGTCGTTTGATGGGGATGATCATTACAGATATTCATTATATACACTAGATGCATAGTCTCCGCGCAAGCGCGGGGTTTGGATACGTTGTCGATGTGTTGTGTAGTTTTGTTTATGAGATTTTGCTGTTTTTTTTTAACATTTGTTTATCTGGCTTATCTATAATGGTGATGAATGAAACATTAGAAATCATACAACTTGATTAGTTTGATAAAAGAATAAACATCGAATTCATATGAGTTGATATTTTCATATTTTATCTTCGTAGTGATTTTATCGAGCATTCCCTTTATTAGTGATTTTATCGAGCATTACTATTATTAGTGCTTTCATGTACAAAAATAATTTAATGGAGACAAGACAAAAAAAAACATATGTTTATTAGTGTAATTTTCTTTCTGAAATTATGGTGTATATATATATATATATTTTAATTGTGATGTATATGAGATTTATGGCCGATCTAAATGGTTCGGTGTAAATATTTATCATTGAAAAATATGTTTTTATTTTATTTAATGATTATAACTGAATTGAAATGATATTGGAGGTTAGAACATGATAACCTTTCTTATAAAAATATCTAAGATGGTCTCATAAACTTTCAAATCCTTAAGCCATTTGTATCCCAACAACCAGTATAAAAAATCATTCTGAATCTCCCTAAGCTTTTAGATATCCCGAAAAGCCCAAATTAAAAACAAAAAATATTACATGCAAGCAGTGCGTTTCGAACCCGCCCACTCGCGGTACCAACTTCTCGTCACCAACTTACACCACTGAACCGTTTCATCACTCATTGATAACATTCAATCTTACAAATCTTATACGTTTTTGTTTTCCCTAATAAAACGTGCGGAACCCGCAAACTTGCTAACGTGGACAGCTTAAGGAACTTCAAAAATGAATCATTATTATATAGATTTTAACAAAAAAATAAGGTATATAATATTTGCATTTACATTTACAAATATATTAAAACTCAAACTATATGAGTAGGTGATTAGCTAATAGTTGTCTAAATTAACAAAGCTGAACATCGTTGAATATTTTCATATTCTGCCGATTATAGCATACGTCAAAGTCCTATCATAAATAAAGTTTGGCAAGTGCTATTCAGTTGTCCTTTTAGAATCCGAACTTCTTAATTTCTGTGCATAAAACTGTAGCAATTTCATCTTCTGGATGAGAGTTAAGATCTTGATAAACTAGGTTTGGTGACATAGGAATTAAGCCTTTATACTATCAAATTCAGCATACTAAGTAATACAAAACTTACATATACTATGTCCAGAATATGAATCGTATATTGAATTTTATTATTAGCAAAATGTGTTGATAGTGCATGCCTGTTTTGACATTTTTTTCATTAAATCTCTCTCGACTCACTTTTTTTCCTTCTTAATTTTTTGATAGATATTTCGAATGAAACTACTATTCTATCCCTCCCGACATATTCGTGATGTACGTTCCTCCTTATAGAGGACCATAACCTACCTGCTTCAGCTTCACCAAACCTGCTCTCTTCTTAATATAATAAATACGTATGAAAATAACATTTTCATTACAGTCTCGTGAATGCACTAACACACATATATACAATGACAGCAAAAACTGTATGTATCAAAATACAGTTATTGGTGAGTCTTCCAATGGCTGCCGCACCTTGAAGTGACCAAAGACAATATTAGCATATAAAATTAAAGACTTGATCCTCCCTTTGTCATAATCTTAGTTTTGTCCTTTTTCTGGTGATTTATTCAACTCTTGTAACTTTATACCTAATTCTAAAATTTATATAATAATTTTTATAATGTTTTTTTTTTGCTAAATAATTTCTATAACGTTGATCTCTTTTTCTTTTTTTTTTCTTATAATCTTCAGAGTGGTGGTTCCATATTTCTGGTGAGAGAAAACAGCAGGGTCTTCTGCTAAATCAAGAACACTGTGTTCAACATCTCCCCCCTCATGTTTCGAGCGTTCGTTACTTCTTAATTTCATCATAATTTTCGCAACAAATAAGCCGCAATTTCAGCTAAATTTCGGTGAAAAAATGTTTTTTTTCTTTTCTTTATGTGGAAAACAGCTAAAAAGTTGTAAAATGGATTTTTATTAATCTTCTTCCAGCAAGTATAGGATCAGATTCTAAAAGGTATACTACTCTTTAATCTTTGTTTTCTTCTTTTCTTTGTTTTTTCTTGAAAATGTTCACTTGCACATCACTCAAAACAGTAATAATAATCACAATGCATTTGTGTAAGTGACTGATGAAAAAAAAATCATGAAAACAGAGTTTTAACAGATCACTGCATGATGATTTGAACCATTATGACAAAAATATTATTACTCTTCATTATTATTTAGACATAATTTTATTCTTTGCTTCTATTAACAGTTTCTTTTTAGTGTGAACTGTCTTATGGAGAGAAAGTGTGGGAGAAGAGAAGGTATAAATCAAATAGGATGCATGTGGATGTTCATCAGCATCTTTGGATCTAACCAGAAACGTCTCTTGATGGATAAGAAACATAGAAGCAAAAGATTTGCAGGTTTTGGTTTCATTAAACATATGTCTTGAAGATTCTTACTTACTTTCTGCTATAACATATAAATAACTGATGCAGGTAATAATGAGAGTGTTCAGAAACTTATTGAAGAGGATATAGATGTTTCTATTGCTGGTGATGAACATGTGGAGAATAGGGCTTATAAGGATGAATCTGAAGAAAAATTCAGAGAGATAATCAAGCGGTTGATAGCTCAGAAAGAAGGAGAGATCCAAACATGTAAGGACTTGTTGGAAGCTTTTAACGTTTTGGGTTCTGAAGAAGAATCACCACTCCTCAAGAAGAAGACTTCACATGAAGATGCTCAAAGCTTGGGAGGTTCCAAGAGAGTAGAGGAAGAAGAAGAGGCTGTGGTGTTACCGAAGAGGAGATGTAACTTCTTCAGCAAGAAATGGAGATCAGAAGAGAGGAGAAACAGAACATCTCAGGCTGCAAAAACTATTGTTGTTCTAAAACCTGCTCCAAATGGTTTAGTTGTTGATTCTGCAGGCAACAAGCCCAAAACCGGGAGAACCTTTTCCCGGTTTATTACCGGTTTGATCAAAAGAAGACTGGTACAATCTGCCGTTGGAAGGAAGTCATGTGATTTACATGATGATAAGAGCCAAAACCCTTGCGTGCAAGAAAAGATACAGAGTAAATCCGGGAAGCATGTTTCAGATGAAGAAGAACCATTATGTAGTGAAGATTCAAAGAAGATAATGTCAGGTTTGTATATTGCAGCAAGGAAACACTTGTCTGAGATGCTAGCAAATGGAGATATAGATGTGAACTTACCAGATAAGGAAGTACCAAGAATCTTGGGGAAGATTCTTTCTCTCCCTGAGTTCTCATCACCAGGAGATAGCCCTATACTGATTCCAGCTCATGATTTGGTTAGCTCTCTTATCCCTTTAAGCGAAACAACCGAGGAACCAGAGATTCTGCAATGCAGTGAAGAAGATTCAGACAAAGATGATGAGACATTGTTTACCATAGATGTCTCTGTTCCCATAGATCATTCAATGCTTTCAGACAAGACACAGATAGAACCATTATCTGAAACTAGCAGCTCTTCCATTTCCAGACAAGATGACCATATTGATGAACATGTGCTTGAATGTTGTGAAGAAGATGGAGATAAGCAACAATTGAATAAGGTTAGACAGCTTGTGTATATGATGCTGTTTTCTTGAGTTTGTGTTTCATGCTTTCATGCCTTATCTTGTTCCAGGAAATGATGTTGGACCAAGTGCATTCACTATCTTCTCCTCCAGAATCTCCACAAAGTTCTTCAGTGAAGATGACTAACTGCAAAGAAACTGTCTCTGATGTGCAGGGAGAGTTAAGTCCTGTATCTATCCTAGAGCCTCTGTTTACAGATGATGAGAATAGCCCAACAACAAACACAAGATTCAGTTCAGGTATGTATGCATTGAACAAGAGGCTTGATTCTTACAGAACTTGGTTTCTTACTGTTTTTTTTTTTCTGACTCACATTCAGGTGAAATGAGGATACAACCACTTTGTATAAGATTCGATGAAGCTGCTGACTCTCCAAAACAAGACAAACCCAACAATCTCAAAACAAGCATAGATGACAAGGAGTTGACACTTGCATACATTGAAGCCGTTGTGAAATCCTCAGGATTGAGCTGGGAAGAGCTTTTGATTAGACCCTTTTACTCTGAACAGTTTCTTGAGCTAGAATCAACAGATGACATAGCTTTCTGCTCTACACATCTCTGTGATGACAAGAATCTCCTCAACGACTGTATCAATGAAGTTCTTATGGACTTTTGTGAGAATGAGTTGAATCCTGGCCCTTGGATTACGTTCTTGAAACCTGAAGTCCAGCTAATCTCAGACGTGGAAGTTGCAGCTAAAGTGGCACAAGAAGGGGTTTACTGGCATCTCTTACCTTTGCCTTCTCCTCACACTTTAGATCAGATAGTGAAAAAAGACATGGCTAAACCAGGAAGCTGGATGGATCTCCGGTTTGATATTGGTTGGATTGGTTCCGGTACAAGTGAATTGATCCTTGATGATTTATTAGAAGAGATCATCAGAGCTGAACCAATGCAGGAACAGAACAGCAAGAGCTTGTGATAAAGGATCTTTGTTTTAACCTTTTGTTTTTTTTTATCTTTGTACAGTTTCACCGCCACTGCAAAGGTCAACGATCTTTAGTTGACCTTTCTAGTGCAATGGCACAACCAGAGCTTTTTTTTTTAAAACATTGGCAAAGATTTTAAATAATTTTCAACCTAAATACTCTGTTTTTGCTTTCAAGTGGCTTCTATAGTTTACTCAGCCAAGAGAGTTTTGTATACATCAGAAAAAAAACTAACATCTTAAGATGGGCTTTAGTTTTGTATACAATAAAATGTAACATCTTTGATTCCTGCATTGATCAAAAACAAGACTCATATGGCAAGAAGTAATGTAAGAGTTTAAAGATTCAAGAAAGGTACCAACAGATCTCTCTTTGTATCGTCTAAGATCAAAAACAAAACCTACATTTTATCTTAAGAGATCTGTTGTATACCTTCTATTGGGCCTTAGTTTCTTAAGATGGGCTTTACCAAGTTTATAGCAAACGAGGATGAACATTACACTGATCCATTAAATGAAGAGTTTAAGAGTAGTTCTTGATCTAGGGTGTGTTTGATTTTGCGTTATCAAGAGGTTGATGGTAGTGATGGAAAAAATAAAGGTGGATTTCTACAGCTGCTAAAACTAAAGCTGCTCAAACACTGGGCATAAATGATTTTTTGGTTACATATGAAAAGCACACTAGTTTCTCAAATTGCTCAACATTACATCATTAATCTGTGTTCCATTAATGTTAGGAGGCTTTATATGTATGGCTCTTCTAACTTAATGTTTATAGATCAAGGTTTTGGAATAACTCTTGTTCATAATTGGAAATTAGGTTGAGGAATCTATATTTGACTGTTGACATTTTCACATGAGGTCTGAAGTTCACATTCTGTATTGTGTTTTCTTGGTTCTAAATTGATCAAACGGCCTGATTTTAAAGGAAAAAAAATGGAGATTAATGTGGAGTGGGACAAGAACAATAGTTCATTTATCCACAAAGTGACAGTTTTCATTCATTCTATTTAATGAATGTATTAGTTACATTCTTAGGTATTTATAGCAAAGTATATAGTTAGAATCTAAAGATTAGAAGAAAGAGAGTTTTGATAAAAATTTAAAGCTTTGCCAGTATTTTTTCAGCATCATTCATCATCAATAAGCTATGAAGAAGTGGAATCCAGAGAGGAACAAGTCTTGACTAGATCACATCACATTCTCTCACTCTTATCTCTTGACCCGTGAACTCCACTCTCTCAACTCTCTCATGTCTCATTCCACACACGCGCCTCAATCAGTAGTCTTTCAAATTGAGCCACACTCCTAAGACATTGCTAGATGCTAGAAAGAAGTCTATCTACTAGAGAGAGAGAGCTTACAGTCAAAGTCAGACATCAAGTTTTTTAATTTTGAATTTGAAAAAAAAATCAAATCTATTCTATTAAAAGAGAAGTCATGACTCAATTCATGTGTGATATTTTAGTTTGGACTATCTTTAAAGTTTTATAAAATTTCACATAATATTATAATATCTTTTCATATCTTTAATTTTTTGTTTGAAACACTAATAAATAGTTTTAAGAAAATTCTAACAAAATCTTTTAGAATCTTTTTCAAGATATAGTTTCAAAAATTATTTGATTAAAATCTTAATATCATAAAATATAAATAAAATTTTAATTCATTTTTAATTTATAAACAAAAAATTGAAATTATGTAAAATACTTTTAACAATATCCCAAAATTTTGTTTATGTATTATGTAGGCCCAACTTAATTAATTTTTACATAGATTTCAAATTTAGAAATAAAACAAAATATATAAATTAGTAATCTTACATAATAATTAAATTATTACAAAAATACAAATTTATAAATTTTATATTAATAATATTATAAGTCACATAAAAATGATTATAAATTGGATAGCATAAATAATCAAATTATACTTATTTATTGATAACTTTTATTATATAATTTCAAATATTTTCGTATTAAAATACCCGCACGGTTGTGACTTATAAAAAATGGACTGTTACTAGAAAGTTATATTACATTAACTCTCTAATAATATTATCATTATTTTATCTTATAATATGCTTAACAATTTTGTTTTGGTAAATTACCCCACACCTTCCAACTTAGTCACGCAAAATATGTCAATAGATATAAATTTAGGAATCTTCTATTATTTATAAGGAAATATGTCAATAATAGTTAAATGCATCCAAAATATATTAACAAAAATCACAGATTATTAATATGTAATATTTATATACCTTAACAAAATTTACACGTTATATATATTAGATAAATTTATTTCGATGTAAAATTTGAAAATTGTATTGTTTAAAAAAAAAAGAAATTGTTTAAAAGGTTCCTTTTTAATAAATTTTTTATAATATTAATTTACGAAGCTATAAGTTTAGTTTTTAGCAAAAAATTCTTCGAAGTTTATATTATCTTTGCAAATTAAATTACACTAATATTTAATCAAGTTCTATTTATATTACTTTATCTAAAAAAGAAATACTAATCTAACAAACAATAAAATATAGAAGAAGAAACAAACACATTGAAAGTCATGTATAATATAGAAAATTTGAAACAATCTATTTGATTAAAACACTTATTATATAATATTATTATGTTTGAAAAATATTTACTATACATATCGTAAATATGTGATTACTATAATATATACCAATTTACAAGTGAAAACAAAATATTTATATAACTATAAACAAAAACAAACACCCGCGCGGTTGCGCGGGTCAAAATCTAGTCTTATATATTAAAACAGAAGTCATGATTTGATTTCATGTGTGATTTTTTAAGAAAATGGACTATTACTAGAAAGTTATGTTACATTAACTCTCTAATAATATTATCATTATTATATCTTATAATATACTTAACAATTTTGTTTTGGTAAATTACCCCACACCTTCCAACTTAGTCACACAAAATATGTCAATAGATATAAATTTAGGAATCTTCTATTATTTATAAGGAAATATGTCAATAATAGTTAAATGCATCCAGAATATATTAACAAAAATCACCGATTATTAATATGTAATATTTATATACCTTAACAAAATTTACACGTTATATATATTAGATAAATTTATTTCGATGAAATTTTTTAAAATTGTATTGTTTAAAAAAAAAGAAATTGTTTAAAAAATTCCTTTTTAATAAACTTTTTATAATATTAATTTATGAAGCTATAAGTTTAGTTTTTAGCAAAAATTTCTTCGAAGTTTATATTATATTTGCAAATTAAATTACACTAATATTTAATCAAGCTCTATTTATATTACTTTATCTAAAAACGAAATACTAATCTAACAAATAATAAAATATAGAAGAAGAAACAAACACATGTTTGAAAGTCATGTATAAAAAGTTATACTTTAAAAAAAAAAAAAAAGCAAATTATACTATTGTGTGTTATCCACAGTAAATGCTTTCAAGTAGGGATCTGATTGATACTTCTTTTGTTTTCTTCTGCTTCCCTCTCTCACCAGTAAAGCAACAAAAAAATAAAGCAACATCACATACTCACACAAGAACCAGACAGAGTGAGAGAGAGAGAAAAAGAAAAAAAAAACCTTTTCTTCTTCACCATTGTTAATGGAGGAGAAAGCTCATTAATGAAAGAGAGAAAGAAAATTGAGCTCTTTACCTCCTCTTCTGGATCTACTTAGTGTGTGTTGATAAGCTTTGAGAGATTTTTCTGTCTTGCATGTTATAACTAAACCCTCCAAGTCCATATCTTTTAAAAACCTTATCAAACCCTTAAAGATTCTGATTTGCTCTTATCCCTTTTTATCAGATCTTTTTTATTAGCCGCCACAAAGTTCGAACCTTTATAAGGTCCCTTTTGTTAAAACAAAAAAAAAAAATAAAGTCATAAGCTATGGATCGAAGAGACGCAATGGGTTCTTATTACATCCAAAGAGGCATGCCTGGTTCTACTCCTCCACAGACACAACAACAACAACCCTTTCACGGATCACAAGGGTTTCACCATTTCTCAAACCCCAACTCTCCTTTCCTCTCAACCCCAAACCTAAACCAAGTAGGCGTAGGCGGCGGCGGCTCCACTCCCTTCGTGTCTCCCTTCGTGTCTCCTCCTTTACAAGTTGAGTCTTCTCCTGCTGACTCTTCTGCTCCTCCTCCTCCTCCTCAGTCTGGTGAGAAGAGGAAGAGAGGACGGCCTAGGAAATACGGACAAGACAGTCCTGTTTCCTTGGCATTGTCTCCTTCAGCCTCCACTTCCCCGAATTCTAACAAACGTGGCCGTGGTAGACCTCCTGGTTCAGGCAAGAAGCAAAGACTTGCTTCCACTGGTAAAAGTCTCTCTCTTTATGTCTGAACGGCTCTAAAAACAGTGGAAAGTTATAAGCTTTATAGAATTATAGTTTATTAGGACAATGGTTTTTAATATGGTGGGAAGTTATAATCTTTATAAGCTCTTTTAAGGATTAGTTAAAGTTTTAGAATATTTTAATGGCCTAAGTGTGTGTAAAGATATAATCTTTTATTCTAGGGTCTTTGTCTTAAGCTGTGTTTGATTAAAACTTATGTTCTAATGTTCTGTAAGGTGAATTGATGCATTCATCGTCTGGGATGAGCTCTATTGAGTTACAGATTATATTATATAGTTTATGGTGGGAAGTTATAATCTTTAGGCTCTTTTGAAGATTAGTTAAAGTTTTAGAATATTTTAATCTCCCAAGTGTGTGTAAAGATATAATCTTTTATTCTAGGGTCTTTGTCTTAAGCTATGTTTGATTAAAACTTATGTTCTAATGTTCTGTAAGGTGAATTGATGCATTCATCGTCTGGGATGAGCTTTATTGAGTTACAGATTATATTATATAGTTTATGGTGGGAAGTTATAATCCTTGTAGGCTCTTTTGAGGATTAGTTAAAGTTTTAGAATATTTTAATGTCCCAAGTGTGTAAAAATATAATCTTTTATTCTAGGGTCTTTGTCTTAAGCTTATGTTTATTCAACTTATGTTTTGGTTTGTTTTGTTAGGTGAATTAATGTCTTCATCGTCTGGGATGAGTTTCACACCGCATGTGATTGCAGTTTCCGTTGGAGAAGTATGTGATCAAACTCTTGTTCTGTTTTTTTAGGCTTTTCTTGAGATAGTCTTTAATATATTATCATCACTCTTGAGTTTTGTTTTTTTTTCTTCAGGACATTGCATCAAAGGTTATGGCTTTTACGCAGCAAGGTCCAAGAGCGACTTGTGTGTTATCTGTTAGTGGTGCAGTCTCTACTGCAACTATTCTTCAGCCATCACCATCCCATGGAGCTATTAAATACGAGGTTTGATATTTTATTATTATGCTTTACAAGACAAGAAACACTTACTCATGTATTTATGCTGGTGTATGATCTCTAGGGTCGTTTTGAGCTCTTATCTCTCTCAATTTCTTATGTGAACGCACCTGACAATGACAACTCTAACCGCACTGGAAACCTATCAGTCTCACTCGCTAGCCCTGATGGTCGTGTCATTGGTGGTGGAATTGGTGGGCCTCTTATAGCTGCAAGCCCTGTTCAGGTGAGCTATTTGTAACCATCAAATTATTTTAGTTGCATTGTTTCTAAACTTGTGTGTTTGTCTCCTTAACAGGTTATAGTTGGGAGCTTCCTTTGGGCAGTTCCAAAAGGGAAGGTTAAAAAAAGAGATGAAACTTCTGAAGATGTGCAACAAGACACTGAGGGTTTGGAGAACAATGATAACACAGCACCAACTTCACCTCCTCATGTTCCTCAACAAGGGCTAGTTCAGACTCCTGTAGGGATGTGGTCAACTGGTTCAAGGTCAATGGATATGCATCACGCTCATATGGACATTGATCTAATGCGTGGATGATGATTCGTATGTGTAGTAGATCAAGCATTGAATCTAGGAGAAGAAGAAAAGCTAACCTCTCTAAGAAAAATGTCTTTTGGTTATGTTTAGGACAAGAAAAGACTTGTAGTGATTTTCAGAACTCATGTGTGTTCTTTAGCTTTTGGTTTCTTGATTGAATTGCAAAAAAGTTTCATCTGTTTCATACTTCCTCCTTTCGTTTATGATATAAATTTTAGAGAAAAATTGTTTCAAAAAGTTAAATATTTTATATTATCTATGGAATATTTAATAAATAATTATAAATTTTACGTAAATTAATTGAATTTTTTTAAAATTATTATTGGTTTAAAGTTATTGAAAACTTATAAACAAAATAGATGAATTTATGAGAAAGGTTTGATTTGTTTTCTTTATGTTTAAAATGCTATTTTTTTTTTTTTATCTTAACTAAACAGAGGTAGTATATGTGTTTTTACATTCTACAGCATACAATCTGTTTTAGCAGGAAGTCTTTTGAAGAAGTTAACAACACCAGGAGGTGTCTTTCTCCTGAATCTTGGATGTCTCATGATGTATAATCCACCAAGAAGAACAAAAACCTTAAACGGCACAACAAACAAAACCACAGAAGAAACCAAACAAAGCACCATGAAGATGGACGTTGCTCTTGGATCTCTCCAGCTCAACAAAGCTTGAACTCTCTCTCCCTGACCAGCTATATCTCCCACAACAGTTTGTGCTCTACTCGCTATACCTCTCAACCGCTCGTACCGCAATTTCACAACCGCTGGGTCTTGAGAAGAATATGGAAACGTGTCAAACTCTTCGTTAAGCTCTTCAGGGTGAATGTTGTCTGCAAATGAAAGTCTTGTGTCCATGTGTGGAGGTTGTTTCGGGCGTCGTCTGTAGTTCCATAAACCAAGCATGAACAACCAAAGAGATGTTATGGGGAGAATCATCTCTGGCAAACACACAAACGCTAAGTAGAGTATATGAACCGCTGCTGATGCTACCGGTTTCTTCCAAGTGCATATATCTTGAAACCATTCTCCGGTACCGAGTAAACCGGATAAAACAGATCTTAGTCTAAAGAAATTCGCTCGGCTTTTCCTAATGCTCCAAAAATGAGAATCCGAACCGGTTATGTATTCAATCACTTCTTTTCTAAGAGGCGGCTCGGTTCTACTTAACCGAGCCGCCACTAGGCTAACAGCATGCTGTCTAAGAATCTCCTGATGCACTACTTTCAACGGTCGAACGTAGTGCATCTTGGGAAGAATTGGTTTCCAGTACTGACCCAGCATCTGAAACATGGACGTGCAAGTAAACCGAATCGCCAAATGTAGTTCACCCATGTTCTTGACACCCGAAGGTCGAAGAACGAGAAGCGGATAAGAGTTAGAGTAGAGTCTACCTGATTCAAGAGTCGAGATTCGAACTCTAACTTTCCCAATCTTCCCATCTTTATTGTTACCACCATTGATCTGATTGTTATCGAAAACGCCGATTGTGATCACGGTCGCTGGCTCATAAACCTCCCATGTGTACTGCTCGTTGAACCGCGGGTTAAAACAGTTGCTGACGGTCCTTGTCCTGACCCATTTGGTCCCATACTTAGCCACACAGTAAGCATCTACCGTCTCTTTCTTTCCATCATTACTCACATTTAAACCTTCAACTCCTAGAATCCCTACTTCAAGAACACCGAGTGACGGCTGCTGACGTGTCCACATCTCTTTCATCGATGGTCGAAAATCGCTACTGTAGTAAGTAGACTCATCAAGAACATGATAGCCTCCTTCTAAACAAACATTCAGCAAAAGCCTAGTAGTAGCCACTCTGACTCTCCTCTGGTTCTCAAACTTAAGACTATACCAACGGTTAGGTACTATCCGGTTATCATCGACCCGTCTTTCGATTATATCAAGCGGTATCTTAACCGATCCAAGTGTTTCCTCTCGGTTAACCGCTACCCGGTCTTCTATCGAGATTTCAAGATCTTCAAACGGTTCAGCTGCGACAAGTGTAAACTCCTCGTTCCATCTCGGGTTAAGCAACTGGTTCGGTTTGGTTCGAACCATTTGGTTACCTAACTTGATTTTAACATAAGGACTTGGAAGTCTAGTCCGATCTGGTACGATAACCAAGTCTTGTGCCTCGATAACGGTAACGCGAAGATACCATAGCCTCGGAGAATGATAGATTTTAGAACGCAAACTCGATTTGTTTAAAGCGGTTAAAGCGTCTGAGTAAGTCGCGTCTGAGAACGCTTCGTCTGCTTGTGTACCGAACCAAACCGCCAACATAATCTCTCCTCCTTTCTCCACATTGACTATGTACCATTCTGGAGCTAAAGGACTGTCTGGTGCAACACGTGTCGGAATGTCTTCGAGATCGAACCGGATTGAACCGACGAAGTCGTCTTTGATTATGTCTTTGTCCATGACAATGACTTCGAGAAAGTCTGATTGTTGGTCGGATTTTGAGAAGGCGAATACTTCGTTCCAAATAGGGTTTTTGTTTTTCTCGAAGTGTTTTGTCTTGGCTGTGAAGTTTCCGAGTTTGACTTCTACGTAAGGGTCTAGACTTCCGGTTTTGTCCATTGTCGGAAGATTCCGAGCTTTCACTATTTTGACGTAAAGAAACTCCATTGGCTCTACGATATCGTTAGCTCTAGCGTTTCTTCCTTGTCTGCCTCCTCCAAGAATAGGATTCGTCTCTTTGATTGAATAATCTTGTGGAGTAGGTTCAAATCCCATTGTTTCCGGTACCGGAGAACCATATCTCTCCGCTTGAAACCTAGAAGGTCCGGTAAAATAGGGCGGTTGTGGTGATTGCGTTTGAAACGGTTGCGGTTTAGGCGATTGCGGTTGTGGTGATTGCGTTTGAAACGGTTGCGGTTGAGGCGATTGCGGTTGTGGTGCTCGTGTTTGAAACGGTTGCGATTTTGGCGATTGCGGTCGTGGTGCTCGTGTCTGAGGCGGTTGCGGTTGAGGCGGTTGCGGTTGAGGCGATTGCGGATCTCTTAGTTGGCTAGGTTTACTAGTTTCTGTTTTAGGGACGTTGTGAAACTTGTGCCTTGTGTTAGAAGTAACCGTCTTTGTAGGGTTTATATACGGTACCTTGAGAGAGGGGCTATCAGTTACATACACTTTCAAAGCAAGCTCACCACTAACGGCAGAAAAGAAGACGCTCCGTTTCTCTTTCTCAAGAGGGTAATGCATCCCGACAGCTTCAGAGTAAGGCACAAACGCTGTTCCAAAGATCCGAATCTTACCGAGACACGACTTCGTTGTACTGCTTGTTTTGTTGTAAACGTAAGCCTCAAGAATCAGATTCGATAAATCCTCTGTATCTGAGATGTTGAAGAAGAACTTCTCGTTCCAGACAGGACTCGCGTCGTCGATCTTTGTCGAGGTTTTGACAATCTGACCGTCGAATCGTAGCTCCACGAAGGCGTTAACACCACCATATCCATCTCCTTGATGAGTATCTCTAGGTTTGAGCTTTGCGCTTATGACTTCAACGCCAAGTTTTAGGTTACTCATTGACTTTTTGCTCAAGAGAAATGGTTTTAGTTTTTTTTTCTCAGGAGACAGGAACAGAGGTTTTGAAAGTTTCTTGTGAGATCGTGGAGACTTGTCTTACAAGGCGACTTGGCAGATGTTTATTCCCCGGGAGAATTTGTTTTATGTTAATTAATCGTTGACTGTGTTTAATTAAAGATTAGTAACACGCTTATCTGTAATTTAGTCGTGAAGCCAATCATTAATTTTGGTATTAAATAAAAATATTAGTTGTCATTAATTCTGATTTGGAGTGGCAATCATGTAGGGCTGGGCATCATTACTCGTTACTCGTCTTAAACTCAGTATTTGACTCGTACCCGCCTTAAAAATTCAAGTACTCGGTGTTGTCAAGGCAAGTAACAAGGCGACAATTTTCATTACTTGCAAGACTAAGTCAAGTATCAAGTATCATTATTATATTTTGTATTTGACTCGTTCCGTCCCGCTAAAAATCTAAACCCTCAACTAAAAATCTAAACTCGGTTTTGGATTTTTAGTAATTTAAACCCTCAACTAAAGATTAATCGTAAAACAAACCCTCAACTAAAAATCTTGTGAAATAAACCCTCATCTTTATGTCCGTTAATGTTTTCGCCCCTCCGTAACTTTTTTCGTCAACTTTTGACGGAGAAACGTTAAATGTTGACGAAAAGGTTACGGAGGGGTGAAAACATTAATGGACATAAAGATGAGGGTTTATTTCACAAGATTTTTAGTTGAGGATTTATTTCACAGAATTTTTAGTTGAGGGTTTGTTTTACAATATATCTTTAGTTGAGGGTTTAAATTACTAAAAATCATTGTTTGAGAAAATCCTATAACTATTGATTATTTAGTAATTTTATGACCGATTTTACTGTTAATACATACTCACTTTTCTTTGTCAGTGAGACCTCGAATGAGGGTAAATCTAACTTGTAGCTATTCTTGTTTTCTTGTTCGCTCTTTCACAAAAAAAAACTTGTTTTTGAGATTAATGTTTGATTTAGGTTTTGCATTAGTCAATTCGTACAAAAGAACAACCTAAGACCGAAGTTTAAAATTCATGTATCCGATCTTCATTTTGGTGAGGAATCCACATAGTTCAAACAACAAATAAAGTGGACCAATCTCCGTCAATTCGTTCTTTCTTCTCTAACAAATCATCTCAGTCTCTCAATGCTAAAAGAGAACTTACTAATTTTAACATAAACATAAATAAATACAATAATACCACAGTTAATGTGTAGAATTGTGATTCAGTGAACGCTTCTAACATATCTATAACTTAAATCAGGACAAGTTACATTTTAGTTACCTTTTGTCTTTTCTAAGATTGGTTGGTGGGTCGGATGGAAATGCATGAGTGACTGGTTTGAGTGATGTAGCCACTGAAAATGGCATTAAAGTCGCTGTCCTTATAGGACGACCACTGAAAGATGAACACGCTGACGTAGGTTTTACCATAGCATTGAGATACTGAGATAATTTGTTAGAGAAAAAAGAACGAATTGACGGAGATTGGTCCACTTAATTTGTTGTCTGAGCTAATGTAGATTCCTTACCAAAATGAAGATCGGATACCTGAATTTTAAACTCCGGTCTTAGGTTGTTCCTTTGTACGAATTGACTAATGCAAAACCTAAACCAAACATTAATTTCAAAAACATTTTTTTGTTTGTTTGTGAAAGAGCGAACATGAAAACAAATATAGCTACAAGTTAGATTTACCGAAGGAATGCGAGGTCTCATTGACAAAAAAATGAGTTTGTATTAACAGTAAAATCGGTCCTAAAATCACTAAATAATCAATACTTATATGATTTTTTTCAAAAAAAAAAGGATTTTTAGTAATTTAAACCCTCAACTAAAGATATATCGTAAAACAAACCTTCAACTAAAAATCCTGTGAAATAAATCCTCAACTAAAAATCTTGTGAAATAAACCCTCATCTTTATGTCCATTAATGTTTTCGCCCCTCCGTAACCTTTTCGTCAACATTTAACGTTTCTCCGTCAAAATTTGACGAAAAAAGTTACGGAGGGGAGAAAACATTAACGGACATAAAGATGAGGGTTTATTTCATAAGATTTTTAGTTGAGGGTTTGTTTTACGATTAATCTTTAGTTGAGGGTTTAAATTACTAAAAATCCTAAATAAAAATATTAGTTGTCATTAATTCTGATTTGGAGTGGCAATCATGAATCATGTAGTGTCTTGGTATTACGACATTACCCCTGTATTCGTGTATGCAACTATGCATGTTGGATTCTTTTGGCCTCAAGTCTCTTATTTAGCGTGAGTATGATGAAGTTACTCTCTCATGAGCCTTATCATTCAATGTTGAATCTTGCCCTGGGCAAAAAAAACCGAATAAAAAAACTGAACTAGAACCAAACCGAAATATGTAAGAAGTAAACAATAGACCTTTTAAATTAACATATTAACTAATATAGTTTATATATTTGACTCACATATTAAACGAGTATCCGAAACCGAACCGAAATCAAACTGGAACCAAACCGAAATTTCATAAGTACTTATTGGATATAAGAATAATTTATCCGATATATCCGAAAACGAATGATCTTATCCGAAACCGAATACCCAAATGCTCAGGGCTAGTTGAAAGTTGAAACTATATTAGCAAAATTGGATTATATTGAGATTCATACAAAAGCAAACCAAAATCACAAGTTACATCATATCTTCAAGATTGAAGAAATCAAATCTTATTTCCGACTTCTCAAGTTCCAATACTCATCGGTCCACTTCTCGACCTCCCTCTCCACATTTTCTTGTTTCTCAAGAAACCTCTCGAGCTCACCATCTCCATATGGTTGTGGCAAAACGCAAGCAGGCATGACGCTTGGAGACATAACCAACGAGTCATCCATGCACTCCCTGATCATTCTACCATCAGTGATCGGACAAGCCATGGTCTCCGAACACACTTCGGTCGCATTTTCAGGTACAGTCACATCCAACTTCATCAGTTTCCCATAGCCTTGCAACACATATAACATGTAATCGTAGACATATTTCATCTCTAGATTCTTCATTATGTAATTACTTCCTTGCCTTCCTATAACTTGTGCCTATATATAAAATATGAGTAACACCATCACAACATGCTCAATATATAATTGAGTGATGACAATGCGTTATAACATTATATTCTATGTATTACAAGATAATTTGAAAGAGCACTGATCACTGCTTTGAATCGAAATAAGGCATTATAGTTCCCATTAGACATTTTATAAATATTGCTTACCTTGTCAGTGTTGTTGTTACCCCATTCAACAGCGAATTTGAGGTCACCACATTTGTTGTTTTGTCTGATAGGCCAGTAATGCTTCATTGGGACCATACTTCTTATGAAAAAATCGTAATATTCTGGTTTAACCAACAAAGTCATACTATCACATGAAAGTATATATTTCTCGCTCACCGACCACGCTTCCCCTTCTATGTAGATCTTATATCTGAATGCCAAAATTCAGATGGAAATTAAATCAATATAGCAAATTAACAAAGTATGAGAATATACGTGATTTATAACCTGGATGTATTTCGCATATACACATACCTATGAGTGCATTGATCTTCTAGGTTTGATCCTTTAAACCCCTTCTTGCTCTCAATTCTCCAATCCTAAAACAACATGTGAGAATGAGACAAGTACTTCTAGGTTTGACGCTATATAAATAACTACATGGTATAAATTATAAAAAAACGAAGCTTATCTAGACCCAAAACATGACCTCTTATACACATATGATGGAAGATGTTATTTATAAACATACCTGAGCATAGAGTCGAACCATAGGATCATACTTGTCGGAGAAGCTACATCTCATGAGATCTTTTCTTATTGGAGTAGCAACATGAGGGTTTCCTTTCCAATAAGCGTAAGGAATTCTATCTTTCCATTTCACCCGTTTGTTCCCTTCTTGTAGTGCCACAGATAACTTCTTCCACTCCTTTATATTCACCTCCGGCCTATTAAAAACATACTAATATATTACATTTTTACCAAAAAAATAAAATACTAATATTTACATACTTTGTTGGTTACATGTCATCTACACTATCAACCAGACTTTAAAATATAACTTGATTTTTTATTTAAAAAAAATATTTTTTATAAAAGATTAATAATTATTATGCATTTAATTATTTATTTAAACAATGAGAAATTTAAAATTTATCATATTATTTCAAAACAGTAAATATCTCTTAGAAAATTATATGTGCGAATATTTAAATGATATAAACTGCAATACTAAAGAATGACTAAGTATTTTTAATGAAAATTTTAGTGATAATTAAAAATAATGTATTTTGTAAATCACACAAAAAAGCAGTTTTAGTTTTAAACAATGTTTTATATTTTAATAACACTTTTTTTTCTATAAAGGGCAGCTTTTAAGATAAATTAATCTTGAACACCATTAGCCTGAGAGAAAAGAAAGAAAAAAAAAAGTCTTATGAAAGGATAACATACCAACCCCAGAAGCTCCAATCAGGGAACACAATGTCGTATGCATCACGGTGACCGCAATAACGAAACAACGGCGGAGGAGGCCATGTGTCCTTCCTAGTTTTGTTGAAGTCTCTTTTCCAAATAGCGGGTTTATCATAACAGAGGAAGAGAAGCTCAAGATCAGGGATTTGACCAGGATACATTCTTAGAAGTTGAAGTATTCCCCAAATTGTGAACACATCTCTCGTCTGATAAGCTTTCACATATTGATCAACATACAATCTCCCTGACTTTATCACTAGCCTGAAATGAGAATTAGGTTTTGCTCTCTCCAGTGTTTCTCTTGTGATCCCTGTCTCTTGCCACACCTTTAGGTCTTGTTGGATCCATCGGAAGTAATCAGGACAAGTTTCCGAGGAAGTGATTGTCGGCTCGAACTTGGTTGGATAGTTTGAAGGACATGTTTGTGTAGTAGTGTTGTTGTTGAGGAGTGTACAGTTTAATTGGATCTTGTTGATGGTCTTCGGAATATTTGTTGTTGTGGTAACACTTTTCTTGCTGTTTATTGTGAATACTGATGTTACTTGGAATATACTCTCACCTAATACAAACTATGCATAACACCAAAAATAAATAAAATTTAAGCTTATAACGTTTATAGGTTCCATCACTACAAGTATGAGAGTAAACGTATTTCTTTCTACAATCACTATAACGTATATAGTTATCATCATTCTCGTTGACGTGTCGTATGACATAAGTTATTTTACTCGAAAAAGTATTATTTTCTCTTTTTAAGATAATTTTCGCTTTGAAATAAATATTATTTTATAATTTTAATGTAAAATTTATTAACTCTATATGTTATTCTATTTTTCTGTTGATTAAAAATGGTTAGACGTATAGATAATTATTTTTTTAATACATGTGAAAAACTTAAAACAACAACTAAAATAAAACAGAGCGAATATCATTGACAAAGAGAAAAATATTACCGTAAATATCCAAGAGAGAGAAGCACTAAAGAGGAAGATGAAGAAGACGAAAATGTGGATTTTGGCGGTGGCCCTTGTCTTTGCTAGGTTAGAACTTAAACTCGTAGCTAGTTTATGTTGTCGCTGATGATGATGATCTTCTGTGGCTTGAGCCACGTGTATGTTTTCTCTCATCGAACCAAACTCAAAAGAACATGAAATCAATAGAGAGAACTTGTGAAGCAGAGCTCACTGTTTATAGATGATTTGTTTTATGGGGGTGAAAAATCAATCTTTGATAGTATTTTGATATTAGATTTGTTTAGATCTGAGTTTGATACAGAAAACAAAAGATTCGAGCCTGATATTTAATAACGTCAGAACTAATTTACGAAGGCTTTAAGGAGAACCACAGAAAGCCTAATTACGGATAAAAATCTCTATATGTATGGTAGAGAATCTGTACTATGTGAAGCAAATCAAGATAAACCCATTTTAGGATTTATACTTGATTTGCTTTACATATTACCAATTATGCCAATAACATTTAGTTTTAATTATATTTGATATATTAGTCTTGGTTGCAGTCTTAAAGGTCTACAATTTTATTTGGGGTGGGAATCATGCATAATATGTAATTAAAAAAAACAATTTTATAAAATGTCTCTATATTATATATTTATATATGATATTAGAAGAAAATGTAAAAATATATTGTTAAAAAATTTCTTAGAACATCTAAACGCTTTAGACCGGCAGTAGCAACGAATTATATTTAGATGCATACAAAACAAACCAAACACACAAGTTACCATTTCTATTTTCATGATCAAATAAAGTATCTTATTTCCCACTTCTCACGTTCCAATACTCATCGGTCCACTTCCTAACCTTTCTCTTTACACTTTCTTGTTTCTTAAGAATCCTTTTGAGCTCATTATCTCCATAAGGCTTTGGCAAATTACAAGCGGCCTTGATGCTCGGTGACATAACCAACGAGTCATCCATGCACTGCCTGACCAGTCCACCATCAGTTATCGGACAAGCCATCGTCTCTGAACACACTTCGGTAGCATTTTCAGGTACAGTCACATCCAATTTCATCAGTCTCCCATAGCCTTGCAACACATATAACATGTAATCATATACATACTTCATCTCTAGATTCTTCATCATGTACTCACTTCCTTGTCTCCCTATGACTTGTGCCTATACACATGATATACAAATAAGACCAGCACAACATAAGGCATTAGTTATCATTAGACGCTTTTTAATATTGCCTACCTTTTCGGTGTTGTTGTTACCCCATTCGACAGCGAATTTGAGGTCACGACATTTGTTCTTTCGTCTAATAGGCCAGTAATGCTTCATTGGGACCATACTTCTTATGAAAAAATCGTAGTACTCTGGTTTAACCAACAGAGTCATACTATCACATGAGAGTATATATTTCTCGCTCACTGACCACGCATTCCCTTCTACGTAGATCTTATATCTGCATGCAAAAATTCAGAAGCAGAGAAAATGTTTATCAATATAGAAATAAATAAAAATGTGAGACTAATCGTGTTCATAAGACCACGATTAATCCGGAGTTCTTAAGGCGGGGTTCTTAGCGGAAACTAAGAAACTGTTTCTTAACTTTTAACTAAAAACGTTAAGAATCGGTTCTTCAAGTCTTTATTTAAGAATCGGTTCTTAGCATTTTTAGTTAACAGTTAAGAAACAATTTCTTAGTTTCCACTAAGAATCTCACCTTAAGAAACCTTAAGAAAATGCATATACATGTACCTATGAGTGCACTGATCTTCTAGGTTTGATCCTCTAAACCCCTTCTCAATCTCACTTCTCCAATCCTGAAACAACAGGTGAGAGTGAGAAAAGATCATAAATTTACTTTTAAATGATATCATATAAATCACTACATGGTATAAATTTCTAACTAAATGAACCTTATCTAGACCCAAAATGAAACTCGAGTATGCATGTAACTATAAAGTATAACTAAATGGATACTATAATTTAAAGTTTAAACACATACCTGAACATAGAGACGAACCATAGGATCATACTTGTCGGAGACGTTACATCTCATGAGTTCTCCTCTTACTGGAGAAACATTAGGGTTTCCTTTCCAATACGCGTACGGAATTCTATCTTCCCATTTCACCCTTTTGTTCCCTTCTTTCAATGCCACAGATAACTTATTCCACTCCTTTATATTCAGCTCCGGCCTATTAAAAACTTAAATAATATTTATATACGTCATTGGTTACGGGCCATCTACGTTATTGACCAGACTTGCGATATAATTAATCGATCTTGATGATTAGTCAACATTAACCAAAAGAAAATAGAAAAGTCTTATGAATGGGTCATACCAACCCCAAAAGCTCCAATCAGGGAACACGATGTCATATGCATCACGGTGACCGCAATAGTGAAACAACGGTGGAGGAGGCCATGTGTCTTTTTTGAAGTCTCTTTTCCAGATGGCGGGTTTATCATGGCATAGGAAGAGAAGCTCAAGATCAGGGATTTGACCAGGATACATTCTTAGAAGTTGAAGTATTCCCCAAATTGTGAACACATCTCTTGTCTGAAATGCTTTCTCGTATTGGTGAACGTATAATCTCCCTGACTTTATTACCACCCTGAAATGAGCGTGTGGTCTTGCTTTCTCTAGTGTTTCCCTTGTGATTCCTGTCTTTTCCCATATTTTTAAGTCTCGGTGGATCCACCTGAAGTAGTCAGGACAAGTTTCCGAGGAAGTGATGGCTGGTTCGAACTTGGTTGGATAATTTGAAGGACATGTTTGTATAGTGTTGTTGTTGAGGAGTGTGCAGTTTAGAGGAATCTTGATGATGATCTTCGGGATATCTGTTGTTGTGGTAGCACTTTTGTTGGTATTTCTTGTGAATACTGATTTTACTTGGAATCTACTCTGACCTAATACAAACTATGAATAACACCAAAAAAAAAAAATATTAAGCTAATAAAGTTTATAGGTTACACAACTTCAAGTAATCTAATATATATTTGAACGGTTCAAAGATTTTCAACGTGGTGAATAGTACGTATTTAATAACTACATAACCTATATAGTTATCATCTTTCTCGTGTTTTTATTGCTAGGATCTTCTCGTTAAACACAGTTGAAACTATTATGATATAAAGAGAAAAATATTACCGTAAATATCCAAGAAAGAGAAGCACAAAGGAGGAAGATGAAGAGGACGAAGATGTAGATTTTGGTGGTGACCCATGTCTTTGCTAGTTTAGAGCTTAAACTCGTTGCTAGATTTTGTTGTCGCTGATGATGATGATCTTTTGTGGCTTGAGCCACGTGTATGTTCTCTCCCATCGAACTTAACACACAAGAACATGGGATGATCACCAGGGAGAACTTGTGAAATATGGCTCACTGGACATGGATCTCTTTAATGGGGTGAATCTGAGTTTGATACACAAAACAAAAGTCTATATATTTGTGTTACTTTGCCTACTTAAAGTCAAACTACATAAGCCTCTATATATGTGTTACTTAATTAAATGCTAACTAGTTATTTTTTACATGTATTTTTAATAAAACTGAGTCGTGGAACCCGTGGAGTCATAAAACAATTAGGGCAAAGTATAAAACTTTGAAATCATGCGTTTTCAGTAGTCGTAATTGGACTATCCGATGTTATTCTGAATATTTCTTTAGGTTCCTTTAGGAAATTTTGTGTATATTTTTTTAGATGAACTTTCTAAGAAAGTGGAGAGATAAAATTGAATTGGTCAAATAAAATTGGCAGAATGTTGAAAAGAGGTTTGACAAGATAGGCCAAGATCAAGCCTTACCTTTCGATTTACATTATTTTGAGTTTGTTCTGAAGCATGTTGTTTCTCTCTTGTCGGAAAACATTCATGAGATTGCTTGTAATAAGTTTTGGATTTAAATAAAAAGTAGGAGACTATTGTCCCCTGCCACCTACCAAAAAAGATAGGCCAAGATCAAGTAGTTCCGCGTTATACTAATATTGTTCGAAAAAATCCGTATTTAATCCACTTCATCTTACTTATATACAGAACAATATCGATCAACCATTTATGTTCAACAATTCTGTATATTATTTCAATCTTACTGAATGTAACTAACTAAACCAACCAACCAAGTCATTTGTAAACTAAGTGCATAGGAAAAAGGTCAATAACAGTTATACTTATACCGCATAAAAGTCAAATATAAGACCAGTGTTACATCGGTTGTAAATTGAATACTTTTCAAGATCTATATAATTTTCACCATATATAACCGGACCAGGCTGGGGATCGAGTTAATACTCTAATTCTTGACAGGTGTGTGAACACCATATATAACCGGACCAGGCTGGCGATCGGGTTAATACTCTAATTCTTGACAGGTGTGTGATTAAGGTCTGGTAATACGTGTAATTTACTAAAAACCATCTAAACCACTCTGACGAACCTACCTAAATATTGAGCCTAGGCCTAGGCCTAGGTCAAGTCTTGATTGGGCAATCGTTCAAATATTTTAACGGATCTTTTTTGGTCCCTTCAATAAAGTCAGGTGCTTTAATTGTTTTGACTCTAAAAATTTACCGTTATACAATTTCTCAAGATCTTCTGTTTTCCCCAATGGTAATTTAATACACAATTACCTAAAGTGAATTTTACACAAATTCAGTATGAATTTTGAACTTACCAATTGCACATCAATACTATAAACTTTAATGCACATTAATTGATACATGCAATATTTATGTAACAATATAAGGCTATAAGCTACATTCATCTCTTTAAAATATAAATAGTCACTGTATAGTAAGATATATATAAAATATAATTGAATTTATTATTATTCTATGCATATTTTTTTATTGGTCAATGTAAAGTTAATACGATAAATTATATAAAAATATGGATAGTCTAGTCGATAGTTCAAAAAATAGAATAAAATTACTCAATATAAAATATAAATGACCGTGTTTAGAAATGTCATATTAGAAAACTATTTAATAGGGTACATGTCAAAATAATATACTGAGGAAGAGGCATTTACCAAGGCTATCAAAAATATATGACGCACGATTTTTTGCTTAGTATATGGTGTATTAATTATTAAAATACACACTTTTTTTTGATAGAGTGGAATCTACTTTGCACTCTGAGCTGGAAGCACTGCGGTGGGTAATGGAGAACATTCTTCAATATTCGCCATGTCAGAGCTTTGAGACAGACTGCAAGGAAATGATAGCAATGCTTAGGAGTCCCACAAGATTGGCCAAGCTTCTCAACGAAATTGGAAAAGCTCACGACGTTGCAAATTTGCTTTCCAGATTTTAAGATTTTCTATATTCCTAGGACACAGAACGGATTTTCCGATTCCCTAGCTAGAACTGCTCGATCTTTCTATCAAGATTTGGTGTTTGTTGGTTGTTCTATTCCGGCATGGATTCCCAGGCCACCTCAAGTTTGAGTAATAGATCAGCCGTTCGTTCGTTGTCAAAAAAAAAAAAAATACAAACTAATTTAGCCAGTTCACAAAAAAATGGATAGTTAACAAACATGCTTATAAATTGCAGCAAATTTCAATTAGAAAATTCAGTTCCAAATTAAAAAAAACTTTCAATTAGAATTTCACTGTTGAAGAATCTTATTTTGGACCTCCCAATACTCATCGGTCCACTTCCCAACCTTTCTCTTTACACTTTCTTGTTTCTTAAGAATCCTTTTGAGCTCATTATCTCCATAAGGCTTTGGCAAATTACAAGCGGGCTTGATGCTCGGTGACATAACCAACGAGTCATCCATGCACTGCCTGATTTGTCCACCATCAGTGATCGGACAAGCTATCGTCTCTGAACATACTTCGGTCGCATTTTCAGGTACAGTCACATCCAACTTCATCAGTTTCCCATAGCCTTGCAACACGTATAACATGTAATCATATACATACTTCATCTCTAGATTCTTCATCATGTATTCACTTCCTTGTTTCCCTATGGTTTGTGCCTAGATATATAATATGATTAAGACCATCACAACATAACAGATTAGTTCTCATTAGACGCTTTTTAATATTTTCTTACCTTTTCAGTGTTGTTGTTACCCCATTCAACAGCGAATTTGAGGTCCCCACATTTGTTGTTTGGTCTAATAGGCCAGTAATGCTTCATTGGGACCATACTTCTTATGAAAAAATCGTGGTACTCTGGTTCAACCAACAGAGTCATACTATCACATGAAAGTATATATTTCTCGCTCACCGACCATGTCTTCCCTTCTATGTAGATCTTATATCTGCTATGCAAAAATTCAGATGTAAACGAATATTTATCAATATAGCAATTTAACAAATGTATGAGACTGATGCCAAAAAAAGAGACTACACGTAACTGTAAGATGTATTTTGGATAGAGACATACCCAGGGCTGGGTAAAAAATCTGAACCCGAACAAAAAATAATAATATCAAACCCAAACTGAAACTGGTTGAATATTCGAGCAAGTTTAAAATTTAAAGAATCGGAACCATATCTGATCCAAACCAAAATATTTCGTGTATCTAAATATATCCAAATCAAATGTATATACTTGAATATATTAGCTATTTTTAGATTTAATATTAACTTTTTGGATATAAAATATTTTGATATTGTCCAAAATATTTGGAAAATATATACAAATAGTCAAATCTAAATATCTAAAGTAGCTAAACAATACTCAAAACACCAAAAATACTTGAATTAATATATCTATTGATTCTCCATCCAAATATTTAAACCAAACCAATTTTTATGTTAAGTTTATGTATTATGGCTTATATTACTCAAATTTTTATGTTATATATTATTTTTGTTTTTAAATTTTGAAAAATTTAACATATATATGAATCTTAAAATTTTTAAAAATAATTTAAACGGGTTATTAGAACCCGAACCGAACCCCAACCGAAATGTTTAAATACCCGAATGGGACTGGAATTTTTAAATCTGAAAACCCAAAACCTGAATAGATCCAAACCGAATCTGAATGAGTATACAAACACCCACCCCTAGACGTACCTATGAGTACATTGATCTTCTAGTTTTGATCCTCTAAACCCATTATTAACCTCACTTCTCCAATCCTGAAACAACATGTGAGAGTGGGGCAAGATCATAAACTCTTTTTAATATGACATTGTACTTGTATAAATCACTTAGATGGTATAAAAATATCACAACTAAATGTACCTTATCTAGACCCAATTTGATCGTTATCTAAGAATGCCTGTAACTACAAAGTCTAACTAAATCAACACTATACACATACCTGAATATAGAGACGAACCATAGGATCATACTTGTCAGAGACGTTACATCTCATGAGCTCTCCTCTTATTGGAGAAACATTAGGGTTTCCTTTCCAATAAGCGTACGGGATTCTATCTTTCCATTCGACCTTTTTGTTCCCTTCTTGAAGTGCCACAGATAACTTATTCCACTCTTTTATATTCAGCTCCGGCCTATTAAAAACATAGCTAGTAATATTGGTATGCTTCATTGGTTACGGGCCATCTACATTATTGACCATTAACCAAAAGAAAAGAGAAAAGTCTTACCAACCCCAGAAGCTCCAATCAGGGAAAACGATGTCGTATGCATCAGGGTGACCGCAATAGTGAAACAACGGTGGAGGAGGCCCCGTGTCCTTTTTGAAGTCTCTTTTCCAAATTACGAGACTATCATTGCAGAGGAAGAGAAGCTCAAGATCAGGGATTTGACCAGGATACTTTCTTAGTAGTTGAAGTATTCCCCAAATTGTGAACACATCTCTTGTCTGAAATGGTTTCTTGTATTTGTGAACATATAATTTCCCTGACTTTATTACCACCCTGAAATGAGCATTTGGTTTTGCTTTCTCTAGTGTTTCCCTTGTGATTCCTGTCTTTTGCCATACCTCTAAGTCTCGGTGGATCCACCTGAAGTAGTCAGGACAAGCTTCTGAGGAAGTGATGGCTGGTTCGAACTTGGTTGGATAATTTGAAGGACATGTTTGTATAGTCTTGTTGTTGAGGAGTGTGCAGTTTAGTGAGATCTTTATGATGCTCTTAGGGATATTTGGTGTTGTGGTAACACTTTTGTTTGTGGTTCTTGTGAATACTGATGTTACTTGGAATCTACTCTCCCCTAATACAAACTAATAACACGAAACCAAATATATTAAGCTAATAACGTTTATAAGATCTTTACAAAAAATAAATAAATAACGTTTATAGGTTCCACCACTTCAATAATTTTCAACGTGGTGAATAAATATATTTCTTCTCACCAGAATCCTCAATGGTATAATCTTTCTTTAATCACTACATAACCTAAATAGTTAGGATCTTTCTCGTTTTTTTTTTTGTAGAATCTTCTCGTTGACGAAAGTAGAAAGTATTATCATGAGAAAGAGAAAATTATATTAAGTCAAAAAAAGAAAGAGAAAATTATTACCGTAAATATCCAAGAGAGAGAAGCACAAAGGAGGAAGATGAAGAGGAGGAAGATGTAGATTTTGGTGGTAATCCATGTCTTTGCTAGTTTAGAGCTTAAACTCGTTGCTAGGTTCTGTTGTCGCTTATGATGATGATCTTCTGTGGCTTGAGCCACGTGTATCTTCTCTCCCATCGAACCAAACACACAAGAACATGCGATCAACAGAGAGAACTTGTGAAATAGGGGTCACTGGACATGGATCTCTTTTATGGGGTGAAAGATGTATAATTTTATAGTTATTGGGGTTTAAATTTCTATAGTTCTGAGTTATACGAAAAAAAAGAGCCTCTCTATATGTAATTATGTATGAATTTGCCTACTTACGTCAAACCACATAAGCCTCTACATATGTGTTAATTAATTAATTAATTGCTGAGATAGTCCTGAGTTTTATAGTTTTTGGGGTTTAAATTTTTATAGAAAGATGAATAATTTTGTAGTTTTTGGGGTTTAAATTTTTATAGTTCTGAGTTTGATACGAAAAACAAAANTATATGTAATTATGTATGAATTTGCCTACTTACGTCAAACCACATAAGCCTCTACATATGTGTTAATTAATTAATTAATTGCTGAGATAGTCCTGAGTTTTATAGTTTTTGGGGTTTAAATTTTTATAGAAAGATGAATAATTTTGTAGTTTTTGGGGTTTAAATTTTTATAGTTCTGAGTTTGATACGAAAAACAAAAGTCTCTACATATGTGTGAATTTGCCTACTTATGTCAAACCACATAAGCCTCTACATATGTGTTTATTATTTAATTAATTGCTGAGATAGTTCTGAGTATTTTAGTTTTTGGGTTTAAATTTTATAGTTCTGAGTTTGATACGAAAAACAAAAGTCTCTATATATGTGTAAATTTGCCTACTTACGTCCTCTACATATGTGTTATTTAATTAATTAATTGCTGAGATAGTTCTGAGTTTTATAGTTTTTGGGGTTTACATTTTTATAGAAAAAAGAATAATTTTATAGTTTTTGGGGTTTAAATTTTTATAGTACTGAGTTTGATACGAAAAACAAAAGTCTCTATATATGTGTTATTTGCTACTTACGTCAAACCACATAACCTATGTCAAGCGTGCGTGTACATATGTGCTAATTAATTAACTAGATCCTGATCTGCACGTCCATGCGGGTGGTTAAAAAAAAATTGATCAAACAATTTTATACATGATTGATTGTATATATTTTGATGCTTACAATATTTAAAATAATTTTATAGTCAAACAAATATATATTTTATTAATTGTTTTAAATTTTCATCTTTTTAGTTGTTTACATATATATATATATATATATATATATATATATCTTTATGGGTTGGAGTTGGAATATATATATATATATATATATATATATATATATATATCAATGAAAGTGAATTATCATTTTTAAATAATTATTTATTTTATTATAACAATATATTATTTATGTTGATTATATGTTTTTAGCTATTAATAACAAATAAATAGGTATTAGATGAAATTTTATTATAAATTTATACATATGTATTATACATATTTCTAATTGTAAAAAATATACATATTTTGAAGTTATTAATAAACATTCCTTTTAGTTTTATTAGCTTCACTTATTTAGTTAGTTACAGTTAAAATTTTAGATTTATATTTATTAAAAGGTTTATGTCATGATGAGGAATATGCTATAAAAAAAGATAATTCTCATAATTAAAATTTCATATAAGGTTTAGTTCTTTATAAATAGGTAGGTGGAATATTGGTTTTATTAAGCTATTTGAGTATTGATAGATTAGGATTAGAAATAAAAGAAAAACAAATTTAAGCATAAGGGTGTAATTATTGAAGAAAATTTTAAGAAAAATTTCAAATTTGTACTTTAATTTTAATAGTTTTGATGTCTCCACATTTCCCCTTTTTTTTTTCTTGAGAAACTGGAACAACTAATGTCTCAAACGTCTTTAATATTTATACTATGCCAGTGTATGATGCGACTATGCATTAAAACAAAAATATCATATTTTTAAATTTATCTTGAAATTTGTGGGCTAACCCCTTCGAAAATATTGAGTTTTCCAATAAATACTATCTATACGATTTAAGTTCTTTAGTGTTTCTATAAAAATAACTAACCATACTCTAAATTTATATTAATGTATGCTAAACATATTTTCATCATTTCTAATTTACCAATGAGTAATATATTTAAAATTCATATATATGACTTAATTAGTGGACTAACCGCTATAAATTTAGTTTTTTTCTTGAGAAAGGTTAGCATCTAAGGTCTCAAACCTCTTTAATATTCATATTATGCCAGTGTAGGATGAAATTATACATTAAACAAAAATATCATATTTTTAAATTTATCTTGAAATTTATGGGCTAACCCCTTCGAAAATATTGAGTTTTTAAATAAATACTATCTATACTATTTAAGTTCTTTAGTGTTTTTCTAAAAATAGCTAACCACACTCTAAATTTATATTAATGTATGCTAAACATATTTTCATCACTTCTAATTTACCAACGAGAAATATATTTAAAGTTCGTATATGACCTAATTAGTGGACTAACCGCTATAAATTTGTTTTTTTTTCTTGAGAAAGGTTAATATCTAAAGTCTCAAACCTCTTTAATATTCATATTATGCCAGTTTATGATGCAACTATGCATTAAAACAAAAAGTATCATATTTTAAATTTATCTTGAAATTTGTGGGCCAACCCCTTCGAAAATATTGAGTTTTCAAATAAATAGTATGTATACGATTTAAGTTCTTTAGTATTTATTTTAAAATACATAACCACACTCTATACTTATATTAATGTATGCTAAACATATTTTAATGGTAAATAAGCATCATTTTTAATTTTCCAAAGAGTAATTTATTTTAATTTCATAAACACCTTAATTTGTGGACTAACACTTATAATTTTTTTTTCCAGAGAAACTGGAACAACTAATGTCTCAAACCTTATTCATATTCATACTATGCAAGTTTATGATGAAAATATGCATTCAAAACAAAAATATCATATTTTTAAATTTATCTTGAAATTTGTGGGCTAACCCCTTCGAAAATATTGAGTTTTCCAATAAATACTATCTATACTATTTAAGTTCTTTAGTGATTTTCTAAAAAGATCTAACCACATTATAAATTTATATTAATTTATGCTAAACATATTTTCATCAATTTTAATTTACCAACGAGTAATATATTTAAAGTTTACATATGACCTAATTAGTGGACTAACCGCTATAAATTTAGTTTTTTCTTGAGAAAAGGTTAACATCTAAGGTTTCAAACCTCTTTAATATTCATACTATGCCAATGTATGATGAAACTATGCATTAAAACAAAAATATTATATTTTTAAATTTATCTTGAAATTTGTGGGCTAACCCCTTCGAAATATTGAGTTTTCCAAGAAATACTATCTATACTATTTAAGTTCTTTAGTGTTTTTCTAAAAATAGCTTACCACACTGTAAATTTATATTAATGTATGCTAAACATATTTTCATCATTTCTAATTTACCAACGAGTAATATATTTAAAGTTCATATATGACCTAATTAGTGGACTAACCGCTATAAATTTAGTTTTTTTTTCTTGAGAAAGGTTAACATCTTAGGTTTCAAACCTCTTTAATACTCATACTATGCCAGTGTATGATGCAACTATGCATTAAAACAAAAATATCATATTTTTAAATTTATCTTGAAATTTGTGGGCTAACCCCTTCGAAAATATTGAGTTTTCCAATAAATACTATCTATACTATTTAAGTTCTTTAGTGTTTTTCTAAAAATAGATTACCACACTCTAAATTTATATTAATGTATGCTAAAGATATTTTCATCATTTCTAATTCACCAACGAGTAATATATATAAAGTTCATATATGACCTAATTAGTGGACTAACCGCTATAAATTTTGGTTTTTTCTTGAGGAAGGTTAAAATCTAAGGTCTCAAACCTCTTTAATATTCATACTATGCCAGTGTATGATGTAACAATGCATTCAAACAAAAATATCATATTATTAAATTTATCTTGAAATTTGTGGGCTAACCCCTTCGAAAATATTGAGTTTTCCATTAAATAGCATCTATACGATTTAAGTTATTTAGTATTTCTTTAAAAATACTTAACCACACTCTATATTTATATTAATATATGCTAAACATATTTTCATGGTAAATAAGCATCATCTTTTAATTTCCAACGAGTAATTTATTTTAATTTGATAAACCACTTAATTTGTGGACTAACACTTATAATTGTTTTTCTAGAGAAACTGGAACAACTAATGTCTCAAACCTCTTTAATATTCATACTATGCCTGTTATGATGCAACTATGCATTAAAACAAAAATATCATATTTTTAAATATATCTTGAAATTTGTGGGATAACCCCTTCGAACATATTGAATTTTCCAATAAATACTATCTATACTATTTAAGTTCCTTAGTGATTTTATAAAAAGATCTAACCACATTCTAAATTTATATTAATTTATGCTAAACATATTTTCATCATTTTTAATTTACCAACGAGTAATATATTTAAAGTTCACATATGACCTAATTAGTGGACTAACCGCTATAAATTTAGTTTTTTCTTGAGAAAAGGTTAACATCTAAGGTTTCAGACCTCTTTAATATTCATACTATGCCAGTGTATCTTGAAATTTGTGGGCTAACATCTTCGAAAATATTGAGTTTTCTAATAAATACTATCTATACGATTTAAGTTCATTAGTATTTCTTTAAAAATACCTAACCACACTCTATACTTATATTAATATATGTTAAACATATTTTCATGGTAAATAAGCATCATTTTTAATTTTCCAAAGAGTAATTTATTTTAATTTCATAAACCACTTAATTTGTGGACTAACACTTATATTATTTTTCTAGAGAAACTGGAACAACTAATGTCTCAAACCTCTTTAATATTCATACTATGTCAGTTTATGATGCAACTATGCAATAAAACAAAAATATTATATTTTTTTAATTTATCTTGAAATTTGTGGGCTAACCCCTTCGAAAATATTGAGTTTTCCAATAAATACTATCTATACTATTTAAGTTCTTTAGGGTTTTTATAAAAATAGCTTACTACACTCTAA